CTTTATTGTCAAATCTCGTTTGAGAGAGCATGATTTGCATTAACGGATACATTACATAACAATGTTAAAATAAAACATACCGACATTTTTTTTATGCAATATTTCGACGTTTTAAAACACTCTGAACATATTGACATTAAAAACTCAAAAAACAATCTTTTCTTTAGTTTCTTCTACCCCTATTTTATATATAATTCTTTTAAATTTGGTTTATTAGAGCCAACTTTATACGCAATCAAAGGTTCATATACGAATTTACATATCAAGAAGAAATCTTACATAGCGACTGTAATTCATAACGATCTCTATCATATCATTATTATCGATATATCAGTGCGCTCCTTTTGAATGGAGTTACCTGAGTAGTCACCGCGTGGCACGTGGTGCTACTTATCAATGTGTCTGGTGTCATCTGTTCTTTCTCTCCTGAATGTTTTGAAAAGAAAGGTTAATAAGAATAAATAATATGCCGCAAATACTTAACAAACTGGTTAATACAATGTATTATTTTACGCGTCATAAATTCGTGCCAGCTTCCTTGGTTGTGAGAAATATAGGTAATGATCACGTTTTGTTCAAAACTTTATTATTTAGATTAAATTTTTGACGTTTTCTATCATCAAATGTACTTTAATGAATATGATAATATTTACATGAATATGATAGTTACTGGATGCATAAAATAATTTGACATTTGTAGCCACCGTGAAACGATTTTATAGAAGGACGAACATACTTTCGAGCGGCGACAAGTTTGAGATTACTCTGGACCAGAAGAAGCTGAAGACACCGCAGGGTAAGGTATTCGAGGTGAACAGCAAGCCTCTGGCTTTAGCCGTAGCCGCCGAATGGGATGCACAGAAGGAAACAATCGATAGAGGAAGCATGCACCTGGTACGATCATGGTATACAACTATATGAATACAAGTGCTTGGTTTATTGACTTAAGTAATTCATTAACTTGGCCATTACCAGTTTATGATATTCTGTATCTATTTTAAGTATATGTAAATATATGATAACATTTTTCCGGTTTTCTGTTGTAGACGTCCTTGTGCAACACCGTATTGGACAATCCGCACAATCATACCAAGATAAATCTAGTCAATCATATAGTGAACTGTTTAGAAATGGATACGATCTTATTTTATTCGAGTGTAAGAGAAAGTGCTTATACAAGTGTCTCTGTATTTTCTTTATATTATTTTTAATGCGACAGTATTTTGATTACAATGATTTTTGTGATTTTAGGAAGTGGATGAACTATATCAGTTACAAGTGGAAAAGTGGGAACCTATAGTTCGTTGGTTTTGCGAGCATTATGATGTAGATATTGCGAGAACTCAGAGTATAGAAGCGCCCACGGTGTCTATGGAAACCAAAGCTGCATTAACAAAACATTTAATGTCGCATAATTTCAATAGTATTTATGGTAATAATGCAATTTAATGAGAGATGAAGCTTTCTGTATTTGTATATTAACTGCTATCTGTATGCAGGTCTTGTATATGCAGTGGACGGATTAAAATCAGTTATTCTAACTCTCGCCACAGCTGCAAGAGTAATTAATATCCCGGAAGCTGTAAATCTTTCACGCTTAGAAGAAGAATATCAGGTATGTATCACCACGGTTTTATTTATAATAAAAATGTCTATTGAAGTCCATTCTGCTCTCCATTATCTATTATTATTACATGTTCGTGATATATCTATTGTATATTATCGTTATTATGTTTCTTTATGCAAAGATATCTCACTGGGGCAACGTGGAATGGCATCACGAGTACAGTAAACAAGATTTGCAGGCTCGTCTATCAGCGGCGATGTTATTTGTATATTTGAACTCTCATTCCGCCACTTCTCGACTCAAAAATGACGCCCCTAATGTAAGCTAGTCCTATTTAAATTATCAAAGAATCACTACTAATAGATATAAAATTTGTAAAAACAACATATTTACTGTAATATAACATTGTCTGTAACATCGATGCCGACCGATCACTCCCTTTGTGCTAATTGATAAAAACTGGGAGAGATCTTCTACGCGCATCTAGAAGATCGTTTCCAGCGACGAATTAGATAGGAATGGAACAATCAGGCCCAACCCATTCCTTTGTACAAATGCAACTGAAAAGTTAATGAATAATTACACACGTAATAGATATATGTATGTTCTGTGTGATCACACAGGGTATTCTATATCTCCCTGTTATGTAAAAGAAGAAATTATGATTTCTTGTGTATTACCTATACGATGCTCCGTGATGTAAACACACCGCACCGTTCTTGCACGAGTGGCGAATGCATTCATTGCGATTGCATTCGCCTACACCGCGGCCAGTGGCAGGACTAGAGCCGGTTAACGGAAGAATCGTTGTGTCTGTGCGCAATTCAACGTCGAATATACATCCGGAGAAGCCGGTATGGAGGGGTAGGTCGTGCGGCAACGTATCAAAGTTTTTGGATTTGTAACCACCTATGAGACAAATTTCCTTTCTGTTTTTATTCGTTTACCTTCATTTCGCGCTAAATATTTCATTTTAACTTATATTCAATCGAGATCAGTCTCAGTCCGCATTGTATTTAATGTCAACAGATCAGATGTGAGTGATGAAAATTTAATAGCTGCATTTAGCGTAAAATATAAAGGATAATAAGACGATTCGAGTGTTGACATTATGCCAAATATGTCAAGTCGCTGTCTCTGCAGCAACTTACCGATATAGAGAATAGGCGATACGTCAAGTTGAGTCATAGATCCTACTGCCTGACCAGTCACGTTTTTGAGACCCTCTACAGCGAGCCACGCTTCCTTGCCTCTCCTTCCGATTCGAAGGGTATACGTTTTACTTTTACCAGCCGATCCTGCCACACTCAGAGAGGTCAACGAATCGCTAGTGAAGATTCTTCGTACTCCTATTGAAAGATTATAACGTTGAAATATAGTTTCTTTAAACTCTCTATGCTAAAACTTTATATAATTGGAACTACATATTCTAGCATATATTTTTCTATAAGAAAAATATTTTTATTCTATATAAATGTAAATATAATAGATTAAACTGCAAAATTCCTTAAAATATTTATTATATAAACAATTACTTATTTTTTAGATATCTGCTCACAAATAATCTGTATTTATGCTATTTATTATTAAGATATGATTGAAAAGAACATAGAGCTTCGAATATACGGAAAATTCCTAATTTACATTCGTTGATCACTCACCAGAGCCCAAATCCCACGTAAGCATAATGTAGCCGCGCACAAACGTTATCGAAAGATGGTCCGAGACATCACGGCGCGAGCTTCTCTGTCCGAGGTACGCTATCAGGGAGATTTGATCAAACGTGCGCGGGATGAGTCGCAGCTTCAGCTCCATTGTGTCCTTTATCGAAGTAGTCACGCCGTAAGCGATGTACGACGCGAAACCGGGGACAAGGACCGAGAAAGCCGGCCGCACTAGAATGGCATCTGAAAGGATCCAATGAGTGATGTAACGACTTTGTTGCGATCTCGTTGCATCGCTCTCGCATCTGTAATATTGAACGTTTCGTTACCTTCTTCGCAGAAAAGCCCGTGACTGCCGAGCGGACAAACGCAAATAAAACCAGTTCCCGGCGAGCTTACGCACGTCGCACCCATTGAGCAGGGATTGTCGTTGCATGCCGAATGTTCACACAAAGGCCCAGTATACCTGTAAATAGTCTTTAACGCTGAGCATTGGTGTTAAAGACTGACTGTTTCTTCTACGCTAAGATTGATTAGTGTTAATTGAACTTCTTAGCTCTGAGAATTCTTATTTCTATACTTATTTCTGATTTGTAATTTTACTTTTTTTTAGAATATTTTCACTACGTTCGTTTTTACTTGACGTATATAAAGATATATGTGTATTATTTATAAAGAAGCGAAAAATTAGAACAACTTTAATTTTCAGCTAGTAGATATTTACCCCGCTATACACTTGCAACGAATTCTTCCTTCGCTTTCTTCACACGCACCGAAATTCTGACACGGATTCGACAAACATAAAAACGACGTGCATTCTTCGATCTGGAATGTTTCTAAGGAATCGTGAATAAAATGTCGCGTAATATCGTTCACCTGCAATGCAATTTAAATAATTCTGAGCCACCTTGTATAAAAATTGACAAACTTTTGCAATTATTTAAATATATCACAAAAAGATTGAATTTAATTTTAAATAATTCTTTACTAAAACGTACCTTCAGGGAATCCATGCAACCAATGAATCCCATTGCTACGTGAGGGAAATAATGCGAGAACGTTAATGGAATGCCTCCTATGTACAAATTAGCATATTTTGGGACCATTCCTCGCTGTGGCAGTATTTGTTCGCCGGTTACGGCCATAGTGCCATTCACCAGCAATTTGGCGAAACATTTCTCGTTTTCGTCATTGGCAACGTATTGAAAGCTGTGACAAAAAGAAAAGAAAGTTTCTTTTCTGTTAATATTTTCATGCAAAAATCAAAAAGATAATAAATTTTTTATGTCTACTAATTTAGGTAATGCAAATTTAAGAAATATGGATTAAAGTTGAAATAATTAAAGTTGAATAATTTAATGCGAATAACATACCTCATATCGATGCCCACTTCGTATCCATTATCGATAATAGCATCGATTTCACCGAGTAACATAGTTTCTAGGCCACAAGAAAACTGGAACTTCAACGATCCAAGTTCCAAGTATACCAAAGAATATCTCTCATTGTCAAAGTAAACGTGCAATATAATTCCATTTTTAAATGCCGTTCTAAGCTTAAGATAAATTCGGAGCGTCGCGCTCTTATTTTCAGTAATTATTACTTCGACGCGTTGTCTGACAAAAGATTTGCCGTTAAAGGCCGCTTGTGTGATAGTTGAATCCGTCTTGCATCCGTCGGCATACTAAATAACAATTGTAGTACAGATATATTAACTACAAGTATTTTATTTTGAGAGAAATTTAAGTTTGAAGTCTATTTAGGTTTTTTTTCTATATACTAATTAAAAAATGAATAAAGGATTAATATACTTGTAGCTTGAGTTTTCTACAAATTATTACTTTTCTATCGTTATAAAAACCACTTACTTCGGTAACATTCCGCGGAGTTAACGCGGTAGTACTCGTGGAACACTGATTTCCGCGACAAGCACCGATTTCTGTGGTATTCATTTCGATGCCAGTAACAGTAGTTTGGCTTAACGAGGATCCGCTGGTGGATGTTAACGGGGAAGGTACTGTAGAAGTATCAAATCTCATGGTCGAAGATAATACCGATGGCAGTGTCGATGAGGTAGTTAAGGGTAGAACAGTTCTTGGCATGTCCATGATCGTAGTTCCAAAATCGAACGTTCTGTTTTGTATAGAATCAGTCATGTATCGGAATGTCGTATCAATGGAAAGTGTTACATCAGTAGCGTGATCCATAATGGCACTTGTGACATTAGTCCTATCATCCTTTTGGCCTTCACCCATATCCATTGTAGGTCGATAACTAAAACACAGAATGTAGTAAATATTATATTAAATTGACACAAAAATCGTATATATCCATATAATAAAAAAATTATTGATTCTTTTAAAAAGTATATTTAGAGGACAGTGTTATGAAATTAAAACTCATTCACGCGCGATACAAATTGTATCGCTTATCAATGTAAACAAATCGATATTTTATTAATATCAACCATCAAATATAGCGATCTCAATATTCTTATTGTTAGTAAGAATTATAGAATACTCCATTCACCTTGTCGTGTACTCCGTTACATCTTCATCTACTCTACTAGAAAACGGCGGATGTATCTTTGTTGTCTGATCATAGTCAGGTGCCTTAGTAACTTCACCGTCATGGATCGATCTCCCGGTTGGCAAGTAAACTTCAATACTTTCTGTTTCAGTCTCATAGAGGTAGCCTTCGGTAACAGCGGACGACACCGTTACAGGCTTCGACGTAACGAAATCATCTCGAGTCGGACTTGTTGATGGAACTTCAGTAAGAAAAACACTACTATCACCGCTAACGCTAGAACTCTCGCCCTCGTATCTCGGCGTCGTAGTCTTCTCCATAATCGTATATCTCTTTGTATAAGGTGAACTTTTCGGAGTCGTCGAGTAAACGGCAAAACTAATAGTTGATGTGGATGATAAAGGTAGAGACATATCCACTATCGAAGTTGATTCTTTAGGCGAAACTACGGCAGTTGTAGCTCTAACTATACTCGTTCCCTGTTCAGATGTGTCTTCCACTTCTAGTGTGGTCGTCGAGAGAAAACTGTACTCGCACATGGGACCACCGTAATTCGGTGGACACGAACAAGTGAAGCTATTAATACCATCGATACAGGTACCTCCGTTGTCACATTGAGCGAATTTCGATTCGCAATCGTCGTATCTTAGCTCGCAAAGTGCACCGTGATAATCGGGCACGCAATAACAAACTGGACGGTCGTCCTCCAGTAGACACACTGCTCCGTTCTGACAAGGATTATCCTTGCATGGCACAATTGCCTTGTCGCAATCTTTGCCAGTAAAACCTTTAAAAAGAATAACGCAAGAATTTTTCATTAATTAACTTGAATATTAGGAATATGAGAAATGGTATGTGTTATTTTTAAAATTGTTCAAGAATGTTTGGCGTTAATCTTAACATAATAACGATAGTCAAACCTTTGTAAGTTCAATTATGAATTTGGATTATGACTTTCTAAACGCTATTTCTAGACAAAAAAAATCTGCAACTCATGGGGGCGAGAATAATATGCTTACCGAATAAACAAGCGCAAGTGTAGGAAGATGGAATATTGATGCAGAGACCACCGTTTCTGCATGGTAACTCCAAGCATTCGTCTACGTCCTCCTCGCAGAGAATACCGGTCCACCCTTTTCAAATCGTACATGAGAAGAGAAAAGTCGCGATAGAATAAAAACGCGAAGAAGCAAATTTCTTTTTAATGCACGTAAGTAATCGTAGATTTCTTACCTTCGCGACAACGACAATAGAATGAGAAGCCGGGCCCTTCGATGCATTCGCCGGAATTTTTGCACATTGTCTCGTTGCAGACCGAGGCGTCAATCTCGCAATATTCTCCTGGAAATAGAACAAGAAAATAACGATATAGAAATTTCTTAGCTGCGTTTATCATCACGCGTGTTGCACCTGAGTATCCATCCAGGCATTGGCAAGTGATGCCGTCGTAATCGACGCAGGTACCATTATTGAGGCACGGATGGTTCGAACACTCGCTATATCTTTGCTCGCAATTCACACCTATTTTACATTTAAAACGGTATTATTTATTTTCATCAATTCTTTTATATTAATTTATAACGAATAATATGACGAAGAAAAGTGAATTACCTACGAAACCGTCGAGGCAAGTGCAGTTATATGCGGCAACACCGTCGTTGCATGTGCCACCATTAAGACAAGGATCTGACCAACATTCGTCCCAATTGATTTCGCAATTAATTCCCGTGTAACCATCGATGCAATAACAAGAATAAGTGCTGTGTCGTCCATGAAAAATTATAAAATGCAAATATAAGTAAACTATTTCCTTTTTTTATAATTTTAATTATTTTTAACTCGTATATATTTTTAAAATAATCAGTAATATATGAACAAGAATAAATAACATATTAAACCTCTACAAGCTGTTTACAGATAGTTTTGTAAACAGCTAATATTAATTTATTAGACAAAAATATTCGTGTTTTTAAGAAAGACTAAAACTACTGTGCACGATATTTCTTGTAGATATCAATTATCGATCGATTTCAATAAATTAATCATATATCTTGTCTTCCGTGTGAGATTCCAAGAATATTAAAACAAAAACGTTATATTTATCTTTTCTATATAGCCTGAGCTATATCTGTCTTTTATGTCCAATAAATCTAACTCTCAGTATATCAAGATGCGTGCTTTCATCATCAAACTGTGTATGTACCTGTTCTCGTTATCCAAACAGATCCCATACATGCAAGGATCCCCGCTACAATCTGATCCTAATGCAAACACCGTGATCATGGTCGACAGTACTATCAGAGTAAAAATATTTTTACACGCGGTCCTCGAAGATGATGGATAGTAACTCCACTTATAAGCCAGCCTAAGTAGCCTTACATACCTTTACAGCATGATTATAGCATGATATACATACACATATGTCGATTTGTCGCTAATATGTAAATGTGTATATGTGTGCACGCGAGCTGGAGTATGTCATATGTGTTAACGTTTACTATGTGTCGTGTAATAGGATATGAAGGTTTATAGCCGTTACATGATGTAAATTAACGAGATATAGATCTATTTGTTTCATGTTGAATGATGCAGTAATCTTGCAAATGCATTCAACATAAGGTACACTTCACTTCAGGTACTAATCATATTTCATAAATAATACTTATAGCTTTATTAGACTAAGGGAACGTCTCCATATTAATTAATATATCATTAACAAATTGCATTAGTTATTAAAAGGATTGGAAATATTACAATTGATTATAACGAGCAAATATAAGTATATTTATATATTAGAATTCTTCATCTGTAGATATATTCGTATAAGACTTGAGAAATCGAACGCGTTTTCAAGTATTAGTATCTTCGATATAAATTACTTGACTTGATTAAATTGGAGCAATACGGTTTTGAGTCACGTCACTGTGCCAACGTTCGTCCATGACCTTTCTCGTGAATTTGGGCATTGCGTTATTAGCTAAAATCCCGCAGAAAGAAAAGAAATTACACTTGATCGGTACGAGAATGCCGTACGGTTCCTGAAAGGATTAAAAAGCGGAACGGACTCGTCGAGAGAAAAGGACAAATCATCCTTTTCCATTACCTTCCCATTTCTGTGCGACGGTGGGCAACAGAAAAAAAAGGGAGAATGCGGCTCGTCGAGGAACACGGCACTTTTGACAATCTCTGTACACAGTTATGGTATGCCGTAGGCATATATTGCTAGCGCGGCATAGGCCGTGTATATACGTTGTATGCACGTTGTTCTTGGCGATGCCGTTGACGATACCCTGTCGATGACGAGGACTCAGCCGTAGTCTTAGCAACGCTCAACCATACAAATAACTATTACATGCTGTACGCTTGCGTGAAGCAATCGTATCGACATTAATTCTGATGTTACTATTATAAAAATAAAACTTAATAATGGAGATGATATATTTCTTGGATTTCTTCGCCTTTGCAGAGTCGTGGAGTGCGTCTGCATGCAATCTGCGACTCCAAGAATTTGAAACAGCAATTTCTCTACTTGATATCGCTATAACTCGGCAGCACTTTTCTAATTATTGATTCGTTGTTACAATTAAAAAAAAACCGAAATATTTAGTTCTTTGCAAACTACAATGTAGCTTGCAAATTACAGAGCACGAGACACTTTTTAGTCAGGCGAGCAAATCAATATTACGCGTTTACAGAGTAAATCGATTGCGTCCGTGGTGCAAGTCCGTGACGGCATTATGTCCGTTGAATGAGCTTTCCATCCCATAGAAAAAGTTTTATTAAAATAGATATAAATATATAATTAACAATATCTTTCGCTTTTTTCGGACTTCAGATTTTTAAATAAATTGTTTACTCACGTGTCTTTGTTTACATCTCGCGAAGCGCGTAAACTGTATAAACATTAGGCAAGTTGGCTAGTTTTCGGTATCGATGTGCTGCCAAATTATAATTCTATTTTAAGCTAAGAGCACGCTACTCGTAGAACAGTGTTACTCGAGCACTCGCGTGCCGCCAATATCGGACATCTCTTGACTTTGTAATATCAATCCTTGTCCTAATTATATAATTAATCCGTAAGATGATCCGTGGCTTACAAAAGCCAAAATTCTCTGATGCTTCTAACACTGGCCTGCGGTATATCATGTTTGACAAAGGACGTGTATAAATATCCCTGTACCATGATGATGCCTCGTTGCAATCTTGCCATCAAATAATTTTCGTCGGTTTCAATCTTTCCGGAGTTTCAAAACCTGGAAATCTCATGGCCAATTTAAAAAATTCTAGGACAGATCCATGAATATCTTTCTATATCTGTAATAATTAGAAATTTATCTCACCGCGAGTTAGCTCAGTCTGCGGGAGAGCCTCTGCTTTGAATAATATAAGATCCGCTCAAAACATTTGCTACTTGTGCATCAACAAGATTTTCCTAGCTTAGTTGCACGAAATTGGCTCCGTGCCGATACGTTTCATCGTCTATATAAAAGAGAAAGATCAAAGTATCGGGGAGAAGGTTCGAGAGAAAAACTTCTACGCGGAGCGCGTCTATGGTTCCTCTGATGGAACCTCACGAGGCAGAAGACTTGCTCAAGTCTCATCTGCGAGAGAATAATCTTTTGCAAGATGAACCCAGATCATGGACCGTCGATCGTTCCCTTCTCGGAGGTCGCGGTTTATTTGCCACGCGAGACATTCGAGCCGGCGAGTTAATCTTCACGGACGTTCCGCTGTTAATAGGACCACGATGCTACAACAAGTATCTGCCGATGTGCGTCGTTTGCTATAAGAGCGAATGCCCTCTGTTCCCCTGCGATCACGGCTGCGGTTTGCCGATCTGTTCTACGGAATGCGAGGATTCCGCGGTGCACATCCAAGGGGAATGCCGGTTCCTGAGAGGATGGAAACCGACCTGCGGTTCTACCTGGTCCAAGGATCTGCTACTCGCGGTGGTGCCAATACGTGGTCTCACGTTGTCAAAAGAGCAACGTAAACTCTTGTATGCTTTCGAGTGTCACGCGAATCTTACTCGCAATTACGAGGTAAGTTTTCTTTTATATAAAATATCCTATAAGTTTCTGATATTCATATAGTCCAGCTTTGTAGAAGTATAAAAAAAAAGGAACAACTAAATTTTCATAAATAATACTGTTCATTGTCTTATATTTTCTTTCTTAAGTCTTTCTTCATATACTCATCTCATTGTATATCCTAATCATGGATATGATTGAGATGGTTCTGAGTAACATTAAATGGTCTTAGTTTATCGCGCCTCTCTTAATAATTTCTTCATGTAATATTTATAAAAAATACTGTGTAATAGATCAAATGAAACCCTTTATAACATTTGTTCATCACCTTATGCCAAAGATCGACTTGCTCAAGAGAAACGTGGCCAATTTTCCTAACGAGGAGCAAATGGAGCTCATGAGACGTATTTGTGGTGTCTTCAATACGAATTCGTTTGAAGTCGTGGTTGTATCTTCACGGGACGAGGACCGTACTACGAGTTTACGTGGTCTTTACCCAATGGGCGCATTCCAGAATCATTGCTGCGTGCCGAATACCAGGCATCACTTCGACGATCAGCAACGGATGCACGTGAGCGCCGTGCTGCCTATCGCTGCTGGCGAGGAGATCACCATGTCCTACACCGATCTACTGTGGGACACATGGAGCAGAAGACAGTTCCTGAAGGTCACCAAATATTTCTCCTGCCATTGCAACAGATGCTCCGATCCTTTGGTACGTCAGCACCGCAACAATCTCTCTCCAAAAATTGAAGCAAAATATTCTTTTTGTTTGTTCCAGGAATTCGGTTCCCAGCTTGGCGCACTTCTCTGCGCGAAAAACGATTGTTCGGGGCATTTGTTACCTCGTAATCCTCTCAATCATAAGTCATCCTGGATCTGTGACAAGTGCCAGACCAGCGTGAATCACAGACAGGTGGTACCTAAAAACTGAAATAAAGCTATATATTTACATGCAGTAAGAATAATAAAAAGTAATTTTTAACGATTCTTTTCCTACGAAGAATAGATTTAGTCTTTTATACAATTATTGATTTCAGAAAATTATTTATTGGCATATTAATAAGGTGCTCGCACATTCAATAGCATTTGTATGATCATATGATCGATTAAAATCGTAAAATATTTCTACAAAGTCTGTCTTGATTTCTTCTATGAATGTGAGCTTCGCTGTTTTACAGATCGAGTATATTCATTCGGGATTAAATACATTTGTATCCGACGCTATGTACAAAACTCCACGAGAAATTCTAAGATTTACAGAAACAGTATTATCGAAATTAGTACCCGCTACTAATTACATCTTGTTAGATGTCAAGTATCGTATAATCTCCTACTTTGGCAGAGTCCCCGATCTTAAATGGGAAGGTGAGATGTACATTCTATTTTCTATAAATATTATTATGAAGTATTTTACAAGTTTTTTTTTATTACCTTTATATTGCATAATATTGATAATATATGTGTATGCTATAAATGAGAAATGTAATTCGTATTACTGCAGATCTCACGGATGCAGAACTTAGAACTAAACAGGTGTATTGTGATGAGATACTTTCTGCGTTAGACGCTTTAGATTCTGGAGATTCTATAAAAAAAGGTAATATCATGCGAGAGATGTTTCTCTTCTATACATATATATATTAAGATCTCTATAAAATATTTCTTGTCCCTGTGAATAAAAACGAGATGTATGTACAGGATAAAAAGGATCGAAATGAAGATTATTGTTCTCCTATATAAGTTGTAATAACGTCAACGATACGAATGTGATATATTAATTAATCATGTCAAAATAAGATATAGAATCCAAAAAATCCTAGCATATATTTTACATCATAATTCTTGAAATTATAATATTATTTTATAAGTAAAATTGAAAAGTTAAAATATAATTTTTTAATGTACTTATAATATATTCTAGGCCTTGTTTTATACGAGTTATATCGTACAAATCTGGAATTGTTTAAACGACAGATTTCCAATGATAACGATGAACAGACACATCCACATATAAAAGTACGACGAATAGTTTATTATATGTGTGTTTATTATACATATCTTAATTATCGTTTTAAATCTTCTTTTTTCAGAACGACGATAATGAACGACTATTGCGAAAAGCAATGAGTATATTACAAAATGATGTCGGTGCAGCTTGTGTTCGCAAAAGCGACTAATGCAATCTACTATTTTGACATCGTTCATATTTATTGCTTTACTCGATATCTGGCTGGAATACATATATTCCATTCATATGAGAACGCAATAACAAAGAATGCGTTTATATTACAATTTTCACAGTCTAATTACTTGATTCTACACTTTAATTCACGAACTGCACATTGTATATAATACAGAATGTCATATATATATATATATGAAATATATGAGATTTAAAATATGCGAAGATTTATTGATAATTTTTATTAAAATAAAAATGCAAATGTTTAGACGAAAATTCTATTCAAATAGCAATTAGCTACGTATAAATTATAAGTCGCGATACGGTGAGATCTGTCGTAATGTGTAACAGATTAATAAAGAGAATATATATATACAGAGTGGGGCAAAACAAGCACGATCGGCAAGAGGGTGATACTTGATAAAATAAAATAAAAAATATATTTTGTATACAAAGCTTCATTTTTCAAAAACATTGATTTGGAAAATTGGAGAGTTAATATTTGCGCTTCTTGTACATTCTTTAACAGTCTTGTGCCTTCAAATTTGTCTTAATAGCAGCTATTAATAAGTAATGCATACGCCATTTATATTAATGGAATAAAATAATTTAATTATTATATGTAAGATCTTTTGCTGTTTGTACCATATTCCATTCTGTATGTATAATATACTTTATATAGAGTAATACAAAGAAAACAGTGGCCATTCACAACTTTATGTACAAATCTCATTACTTGTTCATATTACTTGCTGTAATAAACATTTTGCTTCTTCGCACAAGGCAGTACTTGGCTTCAATGTTTCCCAATCATAGTCGATGTCTTCATCGTAACTCGCATTATTATTTCTACAATAAAATTTTATTATATTAATAATTATATATCGTCAAATTCTATAATATAACTATTGATTGCTATTTATAACACAGTATAAAGCAAATTTTGTAATTTGCTCTTAAATATAAGTATAATTTAAAGCAAGTTACCTATACAAAGTATCATCTACAGCATGTATCGCGCCATTGCCTAAATCCTGAAGCAACCGATTTCGCGCGAGCGCTGTGTGCATTAGCGCAATATCATTCAGCAAAAATTCTTTATGATCTACAAAAGAAAGATTTCAAAAATATTTATTTATTTGCTCAGATACTCATTTCTGATTTCAACAAAACCACATTGAAATACTCACCGTTCTTCTCATACTTTTTTAGCAATTTTTTCACGAAATCTTCGCCCGCGTATTTCTTAGATATACCAATTCTATAGAAGATAGCTTTACACTGCCATCGATTCTCTGCAGAATCTTGATTAGACGGGACAATTCGCTTTGCTTGTGTTTCCTTCACGAGAGATTCCCAATCGACTCCTAAGGCATCACCTAATCCTTTGCCGCTCGTTTTAATGTCTTCCTCCAACTCGCCGTCAGAAATTTCTTCAAAGTCCATAGTCTCCATATTATCATCTTCCATATTCCTGACACAACAGAGAAAGAGAGTTATATGTAAAATTTGATATTTTGATATCAACCAATGTGATTTTAGAGATTTTGCATAAATAAAATAATCCGAAGTAAGAAAATATAAAACTTTCATTAAAGATAATCGTATTTTTCCTTTGCAAGCTATCGACTTAATATCAAATAATTTTTGAAATAGAAACGTTTCATCTTAATAACATTTTATAATCTATATAGCTTACTTCAATGATACTGTATCGGCATTATCCTTAGATTTTGAAGTAAAAATATTTTCTTCCGCAGGTTCTTTCGGAGATAACTGAGCCGGCTCCTGAACAGTTGATTGCGCATCGCGATGCGCAGCATCCGATGCTTTCTTATTTGTTCGTGTTTTATTAGTTTCCATATCCTTGAAAAATTATATAAAAATATGAACACTTTTTCGAAGAAAACCAAAAGAAACAAAAATATGGTGGGATATGTACCGTGGTATCTTCTTCCATATTCAATATATCATCAGGATCGTCGCTAATATCACTCAAATCGCTTTCAGTATGAAGAGTCTGCAAGGATTCATCGGCGATGGGACGCTTCGGTTCCACCGCAACGGGTTCCTTGATTTCAGGTTTATCCTTTTGCGAATTTTTCTTTTGGAAACTATCCGTAGATTTTTCTCTAGTAGTTGTGCACAATCTACCTTCAGCGAGTTCCATCAGCTTTTTGTTGATAGGTTCTTCCTTCATGCTGCCGTAAATAGCTGCTTGCTTAGCAGAAGGATGAATCGCCGGCGGCTCTTCTCTTGTTTCCGGCGCATTGTACGATCGTCTTTTGCTGTAAAAATTAATTTCAATCAATGCTTTAACTAATAAAGAGGATAATAGATATATTTGTTACTTTAATTTTAATCTTGTATAAGATAGCACATTTACCTATGTTGCGTAGATTCTCCGTGCTCCAAATCCTTCGAGCGCTCGTTCCTGTAATGTGATCGAACGTGCATGTTCTGATTATCCCATTTCCGGGCATCGTTGGATTTCCAGTCGCCTACAGGATTATCGTATCGGGAATTCCATTCATCATCATGTATCTCTGAACGAGGAAGACTGTCTCTGCCTTCCCATAACGTTCTAGGACGCCATTCTCTCTCCTCCCATTCCACTGTCTGATAACCACGATCTCGACCGTGTTCCACATCACGATGGTGTCCCTCCCAATTATCGTTAGAAACAGTTTCATCTCTAACAACAAGATAGAAGACAATACGTGTGTGAGAGAACAATAACATGAAAAAAAGATAAAATTTCAATAACAATAAAAAAAAAGAATGATGAATTTTGTAATTATAAGATACGATTTAACAATACGGGTTTTTATTTCAATTCTGATAAAAAATTACCTGTTAAGATAGAGTAATACGCTCTTATTTCATTGAAGAAAAACATAAAAATAAAAGAGATAAAAAGAAGATAAAAAATCTAACAAATCAAGCCGGATTATACAGAATTTGCGAATTTTATAACTTGACTAGATGTCGACTTAGTTTGTAAATAACGGTTTATATTATAGCGTACTGAAAATGATTTTATTGCAGGTCAAAACATTTGTCACATTATTTATTTAAATTTGTAACATTCTTAGCACATATACCCGGCTTAGCCGGGTTAGCCTCGTTAGCCCCTTTTATCTCCTTTATTTTTAATTTTTCGAACCTAGATCTATTATTATTTTGAAAAACATAAAACTAATTCAACATGCGTTGTAAATAGTCAACCTAAATAAAAAGCATCTAAAGCGCAAAAGAATAATATTTCTCCAATTCATAATAATTATTACCTAATATTGGCTCCACCACTTCTCAATTTATCGCCAGGGTAGAGAGGATGTCGATGATGATGGTGATGATGACGATGATCGTCGAAGGATGCTCGTTCTGTAGTTTGAATCACGTATCTCGACTCTCTGGACCTCTCGTCGCGAGCAACGCGTCTTTCCTCGAAGGGACTGTCGTACCTTCTGCCCTCGATGGTCTTTCTCCTGTCATCCTCGTGGATGTGACTGTGATCCCGATACTCGACATGTGGAGCCGGCTCCTCCTGCTCGTCCCAGTGTTCGGTCTGCAGTCTGCCATAGTTCCTACCAAAATTCCTGTCCACTTCCATGGCGCGTCGCGGACTGGTCGCGTCTCGACGATCCACTATCCGGTCGATCTTGCTCGGAACGCGACTAGATTCGATTCGCGCCTGGTCCTTTCTGCCGCTGTGCTCCGACGTGTGACCCCGTTCGTATCTCACACCGAACCTTCTGTGCCGATCCCTGTCATAGTGACTGTCCACCATGTCCATTAGATGATCGCGAGGTAGAGTGGGTGTCACAGCCACTACCGACGAGGAAGATGAAGCCGGAGGAACGGGCGGTAACGTCGCTGTTGATTGAACGCTCGACGACGTCGCGACATGTCCACTCTTGTCGTGCAAGGACCCACGATCCAAAGACGTATCCCGAAAACGATCCATGCGATCCCGGGGTGAGTTGACGGTGGACTTGCCGCGACTCGACGATACGTCCTTCTCGACGACGCCGCCGCCGCCGCCGCCGCCGCCGCTTCTTTCATACCTTCCGTCTAGACGTGATTGCGTGGAGCTCCGTTCCCGTTCGGCGAGAGCCTTTGTCTCGGATCGTTCCCGTTCCCGTTCGCTCCTGCTCCGCTCGCGAGTGCCGCCGCTCTTTTCAAACGACACATCTTTGCCTAAGGATCGTTCCTTGATTCTACTACTGCTGTAACGTGAACTCTTGTCTGCTGATAGGCTCAACGCTGCGGGCGATACCACCGCAGGCACGTCTCTCTCTCGCGACTTCATAGACTTGTCTCTTTCTCGATCCCGGTCACGATCCCGCTCTCGTATCTCTCGCTCTCTTTCCCGCTCACGATCACGCTCTCGTTCTCGCTCGCGATCCCTATCCCTCTCCCTGTCGCGTTCGCGTTCTCTCTCTCGATCTCGGTCCCGATCCCGATCACGATCCCGCTCGCGCTGCCTCTCGTTACGACAACGCTCCTGAGATTCATCCTTATCCTTGTCACGCTGAGGTTCTTGACGCTGATCGCGATTCAATCTCGACGGACGCTCGTCTCTCGTCTCCTTCTCGCGCTGACGCTCGCGGCTCTTCTGCCGCGCTTTGTCGCCGCCGTAAGTCTTATCGTCGAAATTGTCCTTGCTCGTGTTGCTCCTTCGATAGCTTTCGTCCTGATTCGAAGTCACTGTTTGTTTCGCTTTGCCGGAAGACGTCTGCTCCGTCTTTCTCGCGTCATCTCGTTCTTTGCTCTTATCTCTTTTGTGCGAGTCGCGATCTTTCTTCTCTGCGTCTCTCGCAACACGATTTGACGAGTTGGTTTGCTTCTCTGGATTCTTTGCCGGGGTGAGATCGCGCCTCGTCCTCGATGGCGTTCGGCTGCGTTGTGTCTTCGACGACGCACTCTCCTTGACGTGTTGGTACTTGGATGACCGCTCCGATGACGACGGCGGCGGCGGCGGCGTACGCGAACGCACATCCTTGTCCTTGCATTTGGATCTCAACCGATCATCTGACTTGGTCTTTTCGTCAATAGCGCGGTTCTTTTCTTTCTCCTGTTGTTCCTTGATTTTATCGAATGACTTGCACTTGACAGCGTCCTTGGACAAACACTCGTCCATATCACGCACTTTCTTGTAATGCCTGCCATCCTCCTTGTCCACTTCCCGATTACTTTTCACCGCTTTCGGCGATTCGCTCCTGTTTTTTTCCCGGATTTTGCTGGACGATGACGCGCGATGCGCCACAGAAACCTGCGAGCCCAACGTTGCGGCCGTCGTAGACGTGACTCCACTCGTAGATCCCTGTTGTATCGCGGGTGATCTAGCGCGCAACGAACTGGAATGCTTCCTGGATACAGACGACGAACCATACTTTTTGACTGATCTCGCGATAAGGTCCTTCTTCGTGGACGTGTTCTCGAGTTTACGTTTCTTCTTGTTGATGGCTTTGTCGTTTCTCGTTCCTAATCTCTTGAGCTTCAATCTGTAAGATCCATTCATAACAATTCGATAAAAAAATTACGCAATATAACAAGCATCGATATAATTCTTTAGCATCGAAATAAAATGTAATAGATTATATTGTATTATACTTATTAAATTAATATACGGGAGAATGTGAAATACAAAGTTTTTTTCTTATATATATATATATATATATATATATATATATATATATATATGTGTGTTCGAGATTATATATTTATACATTACAAAATATAAAGAATCTTGTATAAAATGAATACTTACTTTCTCTTTCTGTCTTTATCCTCGTTGTAATCGGCGGAAATAGCATGATGTCTCTTGGTCTTGATCTTTTTAATTTTCTTATGTGAGTCCGACGTCGACGTAGAAGATGAGTCTTCGCTGCTGGAGCTGCTGCTACTGCTAGATGTGCTGGATGTGCGCGAACTAGAGGAGGAGCTCATAGCTTTTTTCTTCTGTCTTACTTTATCCTTGCCATGTACTTCTTTGTCCTTCTTCATTTGTAATTCCAGTTCCCGTTGTAACAATTGCCGCCGTCTCTCCAATACCTTCTCGTCCTCGTACTCGAGATCTGTCTGATTCCACTCTTCTATGTTCAAGTCCGGACTATGCGATGCCTTTTTCACAATCTTTGATGTGAGCCGTTTGAAAGGATCCTCAATGAGCTGTGATATTGGAATAATCAAAAGTAAGTTCTTGATTTAAGTTTATAGTTAATCAGTCATCAATTTTAACTCTTATCAATTATCTTGCGATGCTGAAAATGCTATGTGTATATATATAATAAAATTACTATTAAATAGAAAAAATATGACATGTGCTTACCCCAGATGCACCTGCGATCGCATTATCTTTCTTAGCACGCTTGGATGGGCTTATCAATGTGTGTGTGTTTGCGTATCTAATTAACAAATGAGAGAAATGAGAAATTGCATTAGTCTAATAAATAAGCCATACGCTCTAATAAAAAGTAGAAATCTAAATTACAATATTTTACAAAATAGTAGTCTTGGATCCGAAACATATCGTGTTTGAAATATTGGAGCAAATATAAGTCTAAAAGCTATAACGGAGCTCATTTTAACTCTTTAACTTCGACCAGTAGTAAACCACAGTTAGCCATGCGTTAGAAAAATTGCTCTCTACTATTGTCTCTGCGTTACAATGCAAATTTAATTATTTGTTTTATTTTTTGTTTATTTTTTCGTTTGTTAAATGTGCAGCTATAAAATGTCGCAATGATCGATCAATCGACAAGACAAGCCGGTGGGCGTCACCGACGGCGACGGCGATAAGGAGTCATAAGGAAATCCGCGGCTCACTTGCAACTCTTTCCGTAGGAACAACTGCCGTTGAGGGCCCAATTTCTGCAGTAATCCGATGTATTCTGAACGGCGGCGGCGGCGGCAGCGGCGGCGGCGGCGACGGCGGCGATCGCTGGTTTGGTGCCCAACCTCTCAAACACACTCGGCCGTCGTGAAGAGTCTGTATTACATTTCGTAGGGTCAGCCGTTATCTTCCTTATGTTTGGTTTTGACATATTATCACCATAAAGCACTTGTATTCTCACAATGGAAGCGCATAACTGCGAGTGTGCAGTTGTTCACGTGCCGTGCGAAATCGTCATGCGACTCGGCGATCTCGGTGCGGAAGCGGAATACGTGCGTCTGCGACTCGCGCGAGAACGGGCATCGTTCTCAACCTACGCGTCTTACGCCCGGGCCCCGGGCGGCGGGCACGGGCTCGGGGCTCCCGGCTCGGGGCTCGGGCAGGCGGGGCAAGCTCGGGCTCGGGACACCTCGGGAATCTCGGGATACCACCGCCACCCGCGACCCGCGAGCCGTTTCGTATCCCCTTCCCCCGATTATACTTTAGGGCTCGACGGCGAATGCGAAATCGGAGTCGCGCGAACCCGTAACCGCTGTCTCTGGAAATCTGACCTTTAACTCGTAGGCTAGAAAGAAATCGATAAAATGGAGCGCCACGTTTGTCCCCGTCAGTAAAGATGCTGCGTAAATTTTCGTGATTATCGAGCGGAGATAATTGCAGAGTTATCGACTATCTCGACCATTGATATACATATATAAATATTATTGTTTATAATGCGTGTTAATTTATAGATTTATTATCGCACAGCTGCTTCATAAATAAGCACACATATTTGCGACGCAATAATAATATATATTATGCAACATTTCTTTCCCCCATAGTTATCGCCCGCATAGATAATCACGGTCCAGTTTTACATAAATAAATAAAAATCGAATACTACCGCGTCATAGATACATATATATGTGCATATTTAGGAATAATAATGAACTGGAAAGCTTCAAAAGAATACATCCATCCGAATTTTTCGCCGTCAATAGTTCGCCTTGGAGATGCATATCCGCATTCAATATACAATTCTAAAGTATTGACGTTGCCAGCCTATATATATTGCTTTTGTCTCGATTTCGATCAATTCGCAGAAACCTTCTGAATTTTGTCGCGAACGATCGACACTTTTTTTTTCCAAACTTTTTCAAACAAAAATATGAAATAAACATCGATGGTTCCGTTAAATGTATATGTATACATATATGTATATATGCATATACGTATTCGAGATTTGCACAAAGTGGGAAAACAACATCCTATATGTAAAACGCGCGTGACACCCATCGTCATGTTGTGTGTCCGTATTGGAAAACATGCGGAAATCGGATGACTTAACGTCAGAGTCACGTCGAGTCATACCAATTAAATGAGAACGACCGATCGGACGACCGATGACTAATGACCGCGGAGGCGAGCAGTGCCGTGTATCGTCTTTCGCGGGATTTTGCTTTTTACAACATAAATTCATATATCTCTTTTACACATTTATTAAATTTAGTTAATACTTCGCACTTTTCTTCCCTTCCACCCACCCTTTGCGTATTAAATTTCGTTAATTTTCTTCTACGTTAACATGTGGACTGTAATCTTTTAGGAGAGACATTTGAAATGTAATATTAGCATCCCGCATTCCTAAAATGATGGACGATTGTAATAAAAAAAACCCGCTTGCCGTTCGCATGTGTTTTTTTTTTATTAGAATAGAAATGATAATTCAACCACATCTCATTACATATTCTGATCAACTGATTCATCTTCGGGTCGTTTGCCGTAACTCGATTAGCACGATAAACGCCAGGAATGCATTCGCACGCCACGTGCAATTTTACGTTTTACATTTTACACGAGCGAGCGAACGAACGCAAAGCACATCATCGTAAAAGTATCGGGGTCATCGTCGGAACAATAAATGGCGCTTTTCTCACGAACGCGCGTATTGCACACCATGAAAGAAAAGAAAAGAATATTCTTGTTACACGCAACATTTCCCGCACGCATATGATTACGATGATATCGGAGTGACGTCTCGTGCTACACTGATATTACACACATTAAACTTTTGCCGACGTTACATACACAGCGAATGAAACCTACGGTGGTACCCCGCATAACAATAAATTAGACTGCATAACGATTCGATAAGGATTATACAACATCTGTATTTATATATGTATATAATCGTATGACTATATATCCACACGTTTCTTTTTTTCCTTTCGGATAATTACTATGATCTTTAGCGCAACTTTACATATACAAAAATCGATTAAAAAAATATTAGTACGAATATAATATGGATTAACATCTTGCATATTTAAAATATATGTATGTGTATATTAGTGATTAGCAAAATATAATTATAATTCTAATCGCGGCGTACTCTAAACAATCGTCGAACAGAAGAGGCGTAGACGCTATGTTTTATATATATATCTATATATATCTGTCCTCTCTTCTAAAATTCTAAAGCAATGATATCCCACCTCGCGCCACGATTACAATCTTTCCACATACATTATTTTATCTTTATATATAATCCGGTATAGCGTTTCGTTCTGAGGTAGATCGAGTCAGCAAACAGCAAACAACTATGTAATTCAAAGCTCGTTTCTAAGTGCAACTAATGCACACATTCTAGATTTTTTTACTATTATGATTAAAACTACATCGTCTGAACATAAAAAAAAAAGATCATCAATGTCAATTCTTAGTATTGTTGCGTCAGCCGCCATCAATAATTCCGAAACCTTGATCATCATTAGTAATTATTGAAGAATGAAATTAATTATATCTATTTGGAAAAAATCGCCAAGATACATCTTGAACTGAGCAATGATTAGTATAATTAAATTTTACGTAAATTGTATTATCGTTCTGAAGCCAAAAGTTCTGCTGTGTGGTGCATATTCATTGCAATTTAACCCTTGGTTGTCACACCTCTTTTTTGAACTTGCCTCTCAAAAAGTTAATTTTTTATAATGAGAATTCTATAATGTTTAAACTTATTCTAGAATTTTTTGCGATTCACTTAAACTGTTAGTTTTTAAACACATACAGCATACAGTTGTTTGAAAATTGGTTGGGGTCATTTTGATCCCGTGTGACAACCGAGGGTTAAAGAGTAAAGATTAAATTTAAAAATCACAACGTGTGCAACGCTGATTGATAATGGACATTGATGATATCCCTAATGTGTTATAATTATTAAGTGACATTCGGCACTTTTTCTTTGCACTTTCATCAGGATATATAACCATTCTTTTTTTTTTTAACAATGATACATTTGCAGCTAATTTGTAAAAAAAAAAAACATCTTTGTTTGCATAAATACATTATTGAAACTATCATATGTGATGCATGAAAAGTGTTATATACAGATTGACCATTATATACAATAGGCGAAAATGCAGATACTTTTGTAGAAAAAAAGTGACGATTTAAAGGTCTAAGAGATAAACCAATATACATATATATCAAGGTTTCGCATTTGCATCGATAAACATTTTCTGAAACAATGTATAAGATACTTGTTAATTATACATTAACCAATACGTTAACTGTAAGTCTGCTTTCTGAAGCATTCAACAGCAACTTTAAAGATAAAAAGCAACATTACCCTAGGTATGTATAGACATATAGCATATTTTTCCAAAGATATATACACGCGTAGACATAAGATTTATAGGAAAACGATTCGCTATAATATTAAAAATTATCGATGCCACCATCAGGAATACCGGCTCTAATATTATCCAACACTTTGTTCACAAATTCTGTTGAATGATTTGCTATTCGCACTTCTGCAATCAAAAGAGTTTGCATATATATTAAAGTAATAATAACCACTAATATATGTATGTATCCTTATATTTTATCTTTTAATAAGAAAATCAACGCTTGATATAAGCAAAGCTAACTGAGAAGGTTAAATGGTCAAATTACGAATTATGTTTTATCAACGACCAAATTACAAATTACGTGTTATCTATATATTATATCTATGATACCTTTTATCTAAGGAATTATACATATTACGTATATATACGTGTAAAGAAAAATTAAAATATTACTCACTGGTAGCCACCTTGCAATATTTCTCCATTTGTCGTGTAAGCTCTTCTTGAGTGTCGCGATTGGATTCAGCTAATTTAGCAGCAAGCGTATGTTTAGCTTGTGATATACCTTGTATGAGACGTCCTGAAAAAAAGTATTATTCGTATTTTAATATGTCCCAAAAAGATGACGATTTTAATACATTCTTCATTTCGACGTTTACTCAACTGTGTTCTGTTTCAAGTCCATGCAGTTTTATCTTATTAGCTTCATGTTGAGCCTTTTTCTTTAAGCGGCACGCCCGTGAAGCTAATTTATTTTTTTCTTTACGAGTTTTCGGCCTTGCTGGGAAAGGTAATTCGGAAACAGGTGTCATATCATTTATAATGCGATTTAATTTGTCTAACTCTCGTCCGATATTGTGAAGCTTGCGAGGATTAGGTGTAAGATCGTTCCCGTCGCCTTTCCGTGCCTTTCCACTATGCTTAATTCCTCTAAGAGCACAATGAGGACTAAATACTGGATCAGTTGCTTCATTCAAGACGTGCGGATCTTCCAAACGCGCCCGCGCGATTAATCGCTGTCCTTTTGGTCCCTTCGCTTGAACGTTATATTGCCAGAAGAATCTTTCTTTTTTACTATGCCTGTCTTTTCCTAATTCTGTTCCTGCTCCTACTCTGTTGTTACTCTGTTCCTCGCCGTCACTTCCGCCTGTATCTGGTTTGATGAAATTTATTTTCATTATCTAAAAGATCATCAAATAATCTATAAGTTACATGACTATACAATACACAACTACCATTATCACTGCTGTAGTCATCGTAATGGTCGCTATCGTCGTCGCTGTCTTCATAGCCCTCGTCGTGGCTAAGAGGATCAATACAGAGTGGATCTGGACTAAGGGCACCTCCAGTACTCAGACTACTGGTCGATCCTGCCTCTACCAAGCTACCGGTACTTAAGAGATGTTGTCGTGGTTCCCTGTGGGCCCAGATTTGATCCAAATGTCCCATTGTCTGCGTTGGCGCAGACATAGACAGTCTCGAACTTTTAGGTTTACCACCTATCGTGGAGATATCTGCCTGCGTGGATATTGGATTGTTAAATGGATTTTCACCTCTTTTCATAAGTAACTCGTGTAAAGTGGACGATCCAAGAGGTCGAGTTACGGGATGTGGCGAAGTCGACGAGCTTGCTGTTGAACTACCTAAATGAGTTATAACACCGTTATCATTATCAACAAACAATAAATAACAAACCATACTTATGGTTTTAAGGCAAGAACACGATACTAACATCATTATTAAATTCCCTTTTACTGTAACGCATCAAAAATGTATTTGCGCTTAACGTTATTACTAGATGAAATACATTTGTTTGGATATACCTGCAACGTTACTAGTGCCCGGACTAGGATACGCAGTAGGACTAACAGCTTCCGCATTATCCACAACGTTGGAACCTCTATTTAAATTAAAGCCACACGTATTCGTATATGTGGGACAACTACGCCGAGTAACTCCAGATTGTGGAAAACTACTAGGCGCGAATCCCATGCTACTACTAAACAGAGAGCTAGTCGGAGCGGTGTATTCCATTTTTAGCGGCTGCACCCTTTCCTCGGGCAGCAATAAATCGTCGAAATTTAAATCTCCCAACAGGGTATCGTCGTTGGCGTTCAACTCGGCCAGAGTTGGACCCTGGATAAGCTCAGCCTTGTCAACTTGGAATATATCATCGTCATCCATCTTAAACGAGATGTCCATCTGATCTGGGTCCATCTTAAAGGAATAATCTGACTGATCGGCCCTCATGTCCCATCCGGCGGAGACCGCCAGAGGAGACGGCGAGAACTGAGCGTACGCTCCTCGCGGGGTGCCTCGGTGGCCTCCAGGTATCGGGACAGACGCCGACGTGTTCATCATCTCCCCGCCAGGCTCTTGCTTCACTACGCTATCCATCGTGCTAGCTAGCGAGAAGTCGCTGTACTTCGAGTCGTCCATCAGCTACGGATGTTATGATGTTGACGAAAATCGTGGGAAGGCGCGCGCGCGTGCGAGCGCGCCCGTGGGCGCTACAAGGCTACGATTACTTTTGACGCTTGAAAAAGCGAGAGAGAGGGAGCGAGAGAGAGAGAGAGAGAGAGAAACTATTTCTCTACGAAGCGCAAAGTTCGGGCAAGTTTGGGCGAAATGAATCGTTCCAAGATCCACCAAGATCGCGATCAGGATTCTCGAGCGACGGATATGCACCTATCGGTGCCGAACCAGTGCGAGCGACGATCGTTGCGCGTTGTTACGCACGTTAGTCCAGCGATAGCGTTGACTGTGTCACCCTGTAAATAACGTCCAGCGGAACGATAACGCGAGAAAGAAAAGAAGGAAAGGCGCGCGCGCGGGTTATCGGCCCGCCGAGAGCGAGCTGCACCGTTTCAGTTTCAGTTTTTTGACTCGTCCGCAGTCCGCACCTCGCGTTTGCTTTGGTTCGCCTCGTGTCGCACGATCGATTCGCAGCCCTCGCGCACGGACGAACGGCCACGAGCCACGAGGGAACGGCTTCTCCGTCTCGCGCTGGTGGACGGCGGAATTCGACGCTCGACGGTCCCGAGAGTCGAGGCCTCGGGGTAAATACGATGGCGATGGCGACGGCGTGCAGCGTGCACACGTTGGAAATCACATATTGGTCCACGCGCGCATCGCGTGCCCCTCGTCAGCGGGCATTTTTCGCGGCTGACAGCATCGCGGTGGCCGCGGCGAGGCCAGGGGCCAGGCTGGGTTTCACTTTTTCTTCCCCCCTCGAAATCCGTTGAGTCGACCCGAGTGCGAGTACCCGACTCCGACCTCGCGGCCCTCGGGCTCGAGAGCTGGCGCGAGCGCAAGAATCCCTCGCGATCGCGCTCGTACGCGCTCGTCCGCGCGCCTACGATCGCGCGAATCACGCGCCGAGGACGTCGCGTTGCACGTGCCAACGACTCGCGAGGAAAACGGACGAGAAATCGGGCGAGAAATCGTTCGGAACGCAGAGGAGTGACGACGTGTGTTGTTTGTTATTGTTTTGCCACGAGACTGCGGGGGCCGAGTGATCGGTGATGTTTGCATAAATAGAGGAACGGGTCACATGACACGTCTCGCGAACGAACGTCGGCCAGTTCCGCGGCGCCGACCAATCGCGCGCCTCCGTTTCCCTCCGTTTCCTTCCACCTGTGCGCCCGCGCCCGCGCCCCCCCCCCCCCCCCCCCCCCCCCCGCCCCCCCACCCCCGCAACCCGCAACCCGCAACTGTCCGCAGTCCGCACTGTCCGCAGTGTTTGCGACTCTGGCGATCTGGCGCAGAATTGTTGTTCCGAATTCCGATATGTTATTTGCTTCGCACGGCGCACGGCGCCGGCGCGCGCTGCCGACTCAAGTCAAGGACGTCGGATGATCGGATCGCCGCGCCGAGCTGGCCGAGTTGACCGAGTTCTCGAACAGGGACCGTATTCTCGAGCCTGCCCTAATGATGCGACTTTCTATTTGAAAAGCATTGAATTTCGCATGCGAGTTTTATTCAATAGGGCCCCTGCTGGGACCCTGATTCTCGAATCGTTTTCATGAAACTCGTATGCGAAATTCACAATGGTCGCGTTCAGGAGACCAAGCAGCTCAATAGCAGTCGAACGTGCGTGGCTCTTACTTTTAGAACGAACCAATCAAAACACTGTGTTGATAAGACAAACTCAACAGTTGTGCAACAGTTGTGTCTGCTGAACGCGCCCAATGCTTTTCAAATAGAAAGTTGATGCATACGAAAATCATTAGGGCAGGCTCGAGAATACGGTCCCAGGGGCCTGGGGCCCGCGTCTCTAATGAGAAACGTATGCGTAAACTCTGCTCTAACAGAAAAGCTGCAAGTTTATTGGGTAAAAACTGTGCGATAGCCAATCACGTTGCAGCCTTTCTGTTAGAGCAGAGGTTGCGCATACGTTTCTGATTAGAGAATCGGGCCCCAGCCTCTCTGATTTGCGCGTGATCCGTGACGAGGCATTCCTTTTCTCCTTTTTTTTTGCTTTACGTCTTTACGCCCAATCGCGAATGCTAGGTCTACAATGCGAGTCGTAAGACGTGACCACGCACACGCGACGTGGAGGAGAATACGCGACTGTGCGTGGTCACGTCTTACGACTCACGACTTTACGACTCGCCGTGTAGACCTAGCAGAACATGCAAATGGGACTTGAGATGCCATCGATTCTCGACATTCTCGTTCGAATTTCTTCCGTTTCTTTCTTCTTTCGGTTTTGGACGAATGCTCTCTTTTACGTCGATCTTTCTAGCGATTTTTTCATTCGTTGACTTGACACGACTGTCTCCAATGAAACGTGAAGGAAAGGATTCTCGCGACGCGATACGCGATTGGTCGACGTAAATCGCGGGCTGCAGATGAAATACAGGCCGATCAAGAAGACCAGACAAGGACAGAGTTTTTTGCTCGAGCATTGTCGAGCATGCTGAAGTGGAGCACACCTTGGAATTTGAAATGCTCTCTCTCATATCGCACAGGAAAACCTAGCGCGCATTCCAGTTAATATATATTTTAGATTTTAGTGTTCTAAAAGGCCTACTAGCTGTTCGTTTTAGCTGAACTTTGTTCAACAGCTAGTTTATCTTTCCTCTTTTTCTTTTCACGTTGGAGAGAAAAAGAGAAAAGATGAACTGTGCTACAACTTCAGCTAAAAAGGAACACGTGGCCTAACGTGAACACGTGGTCACGTAATAAATTTTGAATGGCGTGTTTCCGCTGAACGTAGCTGTACGTTGTACTACACTCGATTGTTGTATTGATCGCGCACACGATACGAATAATAAAAGAGTTTTGCCATAATAATTATCAGTACGATATTTTCCCGCTAAAATGATGAATTATTTTCGTTGCATGATTCTCGAAATTTTCTTACGGTCCTCGCAATAATGATATGCGTACCGCACCTCGAGGGATTAGAATGAAAGAGAAAAATGAGAGCCTTGAAACAGAATACGCCGACTACGAGGAAAAAGATAAAAGGCTGCTGAGCTAAGCACGTCTTGAACGAAACTTATATCAATATTACGTCATTCGTCTTGTATGTACAGTCGCCGCCAATGATTCCTTTCCTGGGATGAGGGGAGAACATAAGAATACCTCAGGAAAGGAATCATTGGCGGCGACTATAGCTTTTGCCATGGCAGTACATCGCGAGTTTTCGCATCCGCGTCACCCGATGCAACGTGAGAAAGATGCAACGTAATATGTCTAACACATGACGAGATATTGTCCTCTGGGCGCCTAAAGTCGCGTTCGTTCGTTCTATTGTTTCACTTCGCCGAACTCGTCGAAGGGCGTTGGAGCGTTGGTTTTGATTTGAGTGCAGAAAGTGCAGCCGAAAGGACGAGCAAGAACCGACGCGGTAGCCAATCAACGTGCCGTTTTTTCGTAATGACCAATTTTATTGGCTACTACCCCTTCCTACCGCGTGGCGTGTTTCAGCAACCTGTGTGTAGGAGGCAGGAGTTCCCAGAACCAGAGTGGCGTGCGTGTTGTTGCGTCTCCCGCTATTTCTCTTGCCTCTTCGAGATTCATCCATTCGAACCGTTCGTACCTTTCTTTCGTAGACGCTTTTCTGTTATAGTCGCGGTTGCACGGCGCACGGTTGGGCGAATGTGTTTTGCTCTACGGCTCTTTCCCCGCGTTAATGGTTTTTTTTGTTTACGTATTTCTGGCTTTGCATCACGTTAACGTTGTACCGGTCTTGCAGGTCAACCAGTGTCCTTCGATGTTTATTCTGCGGCCGCGTGCGTGAATATAATACCCACGCCTTCCAGTTGCTGTTGTCTGAGCAGTGGAAGAACGGCCTCCTGTGGAAGATTATTATTCTTCCGGTACTACGTATTGTAAATCTGGAAAGGATTTTTGATCCTTTACAACTTTGCAAACGTGAAATTTAGCATTGTGCGCAATATGGCGTACTTCGATGGCTTCGATGGCTTCGATGGTGATAGGAATGCCGAGCAAATGCCGCTTGTTGATCGGTAAGAACGAAGAAAGCATAACGTGAATAAATGAATCTGCTTGGAATGGCACGTTGCATTATCAAAGAGAATCATATATTAACGTGTATATTGTATATTAAATATTTTTGTAATATGTGCTCTTAGACCTTGTGTAACTTGAGAAGTGTATCTGCTAGGCTGCGGTCTATTTGATGTTACAAGTTCTTCGAAGCGTTCTTTTTCTTCTTTCTTTATTGAAAGAAAGGAGAAGACGGCTTCGAAGTATTTGTTGCATCAAATGGACCGCAGCCCTAATACAGTGATATGTATATGTATCTTTGAAATTACAAAAATACCATGTAGTGCATGGCTTCCCGTACGCTTCTTTTAATTTAATTCCATATCTTCAATGGGGTGATACGTTGTATAAATCTATATCTTGCAGACACGTTTGTTTTATATTTTTAATTTTATTTACAGGATGGACACAGAATACATGATACATGTGGCAAGTTTGCCACGAGAGTTGAATCAGGTATGATCCATCAATCTATTTAGTTGTAAATTATAATTATTAAAACATTCTTTGTTAGTAACGACTTGATTCACAACGTACATATTGTTAGTCATACTTTTGAAATCAATATTATATATCTATATTTTTGAGATTAACATATCTATTTATTTAATAACATGAAACGTGATGATTTTTCAGGATGCCATCAGAGATATTTTTAGTCAGTATGGTAAAATCACTTCAATTTTCTACCCTCGTAATGCTGCGTGGGCTTATGTTACGTATGGAAAATATCGTGACGCCGAACTTGCTATACGAGAACTCAATAATAAAAAACCATTATATCTAAAAGTGTCACTTGCAAAGGAGACATCTTATACAAAGAAAGGGCAAAACGTAGATTTATCTGAAACTCTTGAAAGACCAAAAGTGGTAAACACTGCAGATTTGCCGCCTATTCCCAAGGATATAAAATAGTAAGTGTCATCAACATTAGCACGTATTGAAATATTAAAATGGTTACGATCAAATATGATCCAAATTAATATTTAAGCATGTTTTATCTTGGTTTTTTTTTGTACATATAAGTAACGTGTGTTATAAATTATTTGAAAGAGATATGATATCAACCACGTTTCAAGTAATAGAAAATATTTTTTATGTTAAATATAAATCGAGAATATGTGTATATATTTTTTATGTATATAGTGTGAGAATGTACGCGTATATAATATATATTTAATTTTAGTCGGAATATGGGTCGTGGACAAGCGATAAATGAAATCCGTAAACATGTGTTGCCACAACCAGTGGCAGTACCATACAGATATGTAGACTATGGATCATCTTTGCCTTCGGTCTCGCAAACACTTGGCGTTCATGAGTTTGAGGTCGAAGATCCTTATGCGAGCACAAATCAATTATGGACAAGGTATCACGGTTCAATAAATACAATGCAATGTAACAACTGTTTAAATTTACTGTATTTTACATGGCTTCTTATTTCAGGGGTGTGATAACTGTCACGCCAGATGGAAAAAGACACGTTTCTCTTGGACGCGGTTATACGATGTATGAATATCCAGAACCATATCCTAAGATTGAAGAATGTATTTCAAAAATATACGAACAACGAAAAAACGTACGAAATTACGCAGATATAAGATTAATATAGAAGTTAGAAAAAATGTGTTACATTTTTAGTACATATTGTGTTTATATACGTTTGATTATATTTTACGTATAATACATGTTGAGTTATTTGTTCCATTGTTGAACGTGATTTAACTAATGATATAATTTATGTTAGAGAAATAATTGAGTATTAATGTTTATTTTTTGCAGGGATTATATGAATATTCCGAAGATAAGCTTAAGAATGGAGTACAAAACTGCTCCGTTTGTTCCACGAAAACAATTAAACATTGTGAAAAATGCCGTACGTATTATTGTAGCAAAGCTTGTCAATTGGAAGATTGGCCACGACATCAGGATGAGTGTGAACGTATTCCGTAATTATATATTTGTATTAAGTTATCTATATTTGTATATTTAACTTTATTGTAGTTTAATTATAACGTAAGTTAAATAAGTTAAACAACTTAGTAATTATAAATGAAACTAATTATAGTTAAATATAAATCATACTTAAATTTATGCAGATCAGTAAATAAAATTTTTAGATATGCAAATTTATATCTATACATAATTTTTTAATGCTAGTTTTCTTTCACAAAAATATTGTTTGCACATTAATGTGATTGTTCTTTATTACGATTAAGTAACATAATAAAGTAGACAAATTCTATATCAAAAACCATATTTACTTCATTTACTTCAGTCCATTATTCCGGTGTTATCAATCACAACTAAACTTTTAGTTATAAATTTTTTTTTACAGGGCATTAGTGGAAGAACCGATTGGTGGTATGTCATCATTGAAAATTAATCAAGATGTAAATCAAACAAAAAAGACATCAGTACCAAATATAATTAATAAAACTGCTACATCTAGTGATGTAAAACTGCGACGGCCCAATACGATTAATGCAGTGCAAGTGGAAAACTCGAGTAATATGAATACAGACATGGATAAGAATAATACAGATGTTACGTATAATTCTGTGAATAATGGAACTCAAGATAGATATTCATCTGGTCAACATGATAATGATATAAATGTATCTCAAACTAAAATGACAGATCAACCAGTAGTAAATGTTACAAACACCAAAGAATTTTCTCAACAACATCGATTGCGTAAATATGACAATACTAACGAGAGTACTAATCAGTCGAGAAAAAATAATGAGTGCTCTCCAAAATCTAGCTCCACTGACCAAAGTCGTCATAGTCGTAATTATCAAAGTGATTCAAACAGAGCTACCCTTAACAAAGAAAAATATTATAATAGCAATGTAAAAGACAAAACTTACAATAATGACCGAAATTGGCCTAAAAAAAATGGCTTCCAAAGTGACAAAAACTCTGCTTGCTATAATGGCAGAGAAAATGCCAATAGACCAGGAACTAGTGTTTCCCAAAATAACTCAATGAACAACGGTTTTTATAAAGATACACGTTTATCAAAAACAAAATTTATAGCTGTGGAAGTTATAATATCTCTGGGTAATGGTGAATATTGGATAAACAAAGTAGATAATAAAAGTGCACTTTGCAACTTAGTGTCGGAGTTACAAGATGTCGTAAAGAAATCACATAAGATGCAGCCGATTATCGGTAAAGTTTACGGTGTGCTCTATGGTGATACTTGGTATAGAGCTATGGTAACATCCCTGAATCCTACTAAGGTCAATTTTATTGACTATGGTAACGATGAAATATTGAAAAAGGATGATGAGACCAGAGATATAGGAGACCTGGTTAAAGCTCCAGAATTTGCTAGAAAAATTCGCTTAATGCAAGGCACAAGTGATAGGTATAGAAATCTACAAGCAGGCGAGACCATTTCTGTTAAAATGTTGTCCATGGATTCTGACAATACGATAATAGTAGAAGTGCAAGAACAATCGGAAAGTTTATCTTCACGTACAACAGAAAGTTCGTCAAATGATACAGTGAAAAAGTTGATGCCACAAAAAAATGATGAAGTGTCATCAAATAAAAGTACAAAAGCTTCCACCGTTCAAATACCTAACGTCTTGGATGCTTTGGCTGATTTGTTGAAACAAGAAGCTGCTTCTGAATTGCAAATTAAGGGCTTCATACAAATTTATCCAAGTTCGCAAAAGAACGTTTACCACGCAATTTTGGGCCCAGATGTTTACAGATCCGAAGTTACGATGATTTTCCTTCACCTGCAAGAAGACTTAAATGAGTGCTTAAAAGAACAAGCAGATATAGATTACAAGCACGTATATGTATATATATATAAAATTTATAAATATATACTATCAATTTTTTAATATTTACTGTATATCATTAAACATAAATTGGAATAAATAAAGTATTTTTTACTGTTTAGGCCGAAACCAGAAGAGTTAGTTTGCGGTAAGTGTTCTGATGGCTGGTACAGGGGATACGTTTCGGTATGTCCCAAAACATCCAAGTTGTCCATTCGTGCAATAGACGAGGCAAGAATTAAACCAGCAGATAAAATTTTGCCATGTCCCAAAAAGTATTCGAATATTTTTGCTCTTGGAGTTATGTGCGAAATGAACCATTCTGCCATCGAATTGCAGGTAAATACCTTTAAAACATTTTATATACAGATATAGATACGGATACAGATACAGATTTTTACTTTGATATGTTACCAGAATGATGATGCACCATACGGGTTCACAGCGGTCTTGAATGAGATGAGCCACAATCAAGAAAGTCTTAAGATAAAAATATGGATAAACTCTGAGGACTCTGAAGTGATACAGGCTGTGGTGAGGAAACCCACAGTGAACTCGCCGATTCCTATTAAAATATTAAAAAGTGGATCTAAGGTTTGACATGTCAACGTCAGTATATTTACCGTCAATGTGTGGTTTGAAATTTCATTGTTTTTATTGACTATGATTTCAGGTATGTCTTACAAGTTATCGAAATCATTATTATATGTTTGTACGGTCTTTAGACGAGGAAGAAGTAGAATATTACAACAATGTTATGCAAACCGTCGCACAATATGCACAAACAGGTAAAATAACTGATTAAATAATGTAATGAGATAAATTGATGATTATAAATTATTTTTTCTACTTGATTGCAGCACCGCATTTACCCGAGCCTCCAGTTCCTCCACAAATAGTAATTGCACCATATAATAATGATGGCAATAGTTATCGTGCAATGGTACTTAACTTGGTGGAGAATGATAAAGCTAGGATAGTTTACATCGATTTTGGCAATATAGCCATAATTGATATAAAAGATCTTAAAGTCATGCCAGCATGCGATTTATTGGTATTGATATACTTGCATGCTAAGGGTATATCCAGACAAATTTGCATAGCGCTTAAACATGAGCATAAGAAAATTGATCCATATACATGTGCATAAGGGAATGGACCACTCCATTTCCTTACGCATATACTTATGCACCTATGCAAGTTTGTCTGGATAGGCCCTAAGATGAAAAAATTATACGTTATATCAAGATGCCCTAAGACAATAAAAAATATATACGTTATATCATTGAATATTAAGATAATGTCAATATGTGTTTTTGTAGCAACATGGCTGTACTAGAATAACTTTAAAAGACATTCCTCGTGACGTACCCAGCAACTCAGAAGTTGACCTTTATCTTCGCAATTTAACGGGCAAAGAGGTGCCCCTGGTATGTACATATGAAGGTACATCACCCAAGGATGGAGTTCGTTTGACGATGCTTACAGGGGAATGTGTTAATGATAAAATAAATCAGCTATTAATCCCAGGATGGAAAAAAGAAAATGATGGTAATGATAATCACAAATTAGACAAGATTTTTAGAAAGTAACGTAACATATATTTGTTTCTCATCACAATTTGTTATACAAAGACTTTAGATCATGCTGCTACTTAAGTCTACCTTTCAATATGACTCTCTTAATGTGAGGCACTTGAAAGTTTTAGCGTGCAAGATAATTATTTTTATTCAATGAACATTGGTTGATAGATCAATTAAATATTACATTCTTACGTTACAGAGATATATTACATTACTTTTTCTTTATATTTCACGTACCTTGGCCATTTTGATGTATGTTTTGTTATAATTTATAATTCTATACAAATTTACAAAATAAGAATTATAAATTTATCATTTTTCTTATACAGACAACACATGTTACATGATAAATGATATTGAAAGCGCAAGTTTAGGACATGTAGGTGAAACAGTAAATGCAGTGATACTGTGTAAACAGGATACTGGAACTATGTTCATGATGAGTTCTGTCGATGTTGAATTAACGGCTCACATCTCTGATGTGATGCCCAAGATGGTAAATAATGTGTTATCATGAAATATTTATATGTTAATGCATTTTTATTGCATTATACAATAATGCAATTTTATTTCGTTGTAGTTGAAAGAGTATTGCGAGAAAACGGAATATTATATACCAAGAGTGAACGAATTATGTTTGGCGTTGTACGAGGAGGCATGGTATCGAGCCGTATGCCTCAATCCTAAGGAATCGCACACGACATCTGAAATTTTATTTATTGATTGGGGGAACACAGAATCAGTGGAGCATAAGAATATAAGATTGATGCCTAAAGACTTTATCGTACCTAAACCATTGGGAATTTTTTGTACGATTGTCGGTAAGTATCAGAGTTATTGGTAAGTTAAAGGATACGATAAATCTTATAAACTTATCTATTGCTTATTATAGATTTGGCACCAGTTGACAGTAATGGAAAATATTCAGAAGCCGTACAGAAGAAAATAGACGAGTTAACACAAGATTACTCGGCCATCAAGATTAAAATTGTAGAACTCATTGAACACTCCCATATTAAAGTCGAGTTACCAGAGGTTCGCGACGCGTTAATCAAAAGTGGTCTCGTGTAGTCTTCATAAACATTTTAATTTACATATAATTTTATAGATTATGTGATCTTGTGCAGGATTAAGACTATTTTTGATCTTAAATCGTTATATGATTTAATTCTCTTCATTTATGTATTTTAAACAGTGGACAGTTACATATTTGAATATTATATTTGCCTATTACATATATCTTTTTATTTGACAACTTCAGTCTGCTGTTATCATGTTTTGTTTCTCAAAAGAACAGTTTTATTTCAATGTATTATGATTATGTTTGCAAAGGCAATCTTATTCTTTTTTTTTTTTTTTTTTTTTGCTACAAATATTTAGCTTTAAAATGGAAAAAACTTTTGTATTCTTAATAAAAAAATGACTATATAACGTCTAACGTGGAAATGTCTTTCCCTACATATTTATTGACGATTTAAATTATTTTTGTGAGAATTACGAAATCTATGGCTGCGTTGGGAAACTTCACCCGCGTGCACACGAGTATCCCAGCGAGTTAGAAAGAGAAGGGAGTATACTCGAGTGACGTTTCCAAGCGCAGCCTATATAATATATGTAGCATGTATTTTTCTTGTAAAATCTGAGTCATTTTTTTTTACTGTATCTCACATACAAATTATCTATTTGCACGTGATCTCGCGTCATTTGTTTTCTGATCACCTCCACATGGAGAAAAAGGAACTTTCAGTGGAAATTTTTATCGTTCGAGAGATTGAAAATTGAAACACCGAGCTGAGAATCGAGCCCCTGGCCCTGGTTGCAAGTGAAACAATGGAATATATAATTGTACTTGTGTAGTACGTACAACACGTATTCACAATGATAGAATCTTAACCCTTTTCTTTATTTTTTTTCCTCACGACGACCTAACCTCTCTCCGAATATCAGCTGAGCACGATCGCTCTGGCTCAGATGACGCATCTCCCACGAGATTCTTGTTGTTCACCTGTTGTAAGTAAAAGGCTTCCAAGAAGCGAGAGTGGTAAACGATGAACGTGCAAACGAGGCACCCTTACGAGGGTTTGCTGCACAAGTATACAAATGCCATGAAAGGCTGGCAGTACCGTTGGTTCATTTTGAGTCCGGAGACCGGCGAGCTACATTACTTCCTTAGCGAGTCTGAGAAGAATCAGAGGCCACGGTGTTCGATATATCTAGCCGGAGCTGTAATAGCTCCCAGTGACGAGGATTCCAACACGTTCACCGTCAATTCCGCTACTGGTAGGTCTATCTAATAGTAATAGTAAACCAAATCTGATTGCTGATAGTTCCTCTGATAATAAATGTGAATGTTCGATTCAATTTGACTATTGAGTTCCCGATATCCTTCCAGGTGACATGATCAAATTACGGGCCACAGATGCACGAGCACGCCAGGAATGGGTGGATAAGCTACGGGCAGTTACAGAGATGTATACTAGAGCGATAGCTAGCAGCCATCCCCCATTGCCACCAAGAGAACATTCTGGGAATTCGAGTAGGAATCCTGTCGTTAAGCTGGAAGTGTTGGACGCCTTTGCCAATTGCCAGGAGCACTTGCGGAAAGTGGAGAAGCACAATCTTGCCCTAGCGCAATCCATCGATAACTCGGATTTGCATCTGGACTCAGACCTCTTAGTTCTCAAAGCTATGGCGCACACCACTTTGCACACGCTGGGCCAATGTCTCAATATATTATATCAGTAGGAAATTTATTCATATTCATATATTTTTTACGCTTATCTATATTAAGATCTTTTATACCTGCTAATACGTAAGATTACCTTCCCCGTTGCGCAATATTCATATCATTTTATTTTGAACAATTATGTAGTTATCCACAATTAGGGCTGACTTTGAACGTACAAAATTAAAGACGAGATTGATACCTCTTGCCATTATATCTATCGTAATATTTTTAATAAGTAAATGTTGAATAACAATTGATTTTAAGTAATTAACTAATTTAAATAGTACAACAAGGCTCGCACGATTAGAAATCACCTAAATAACAAAGGTCTAAGAGCCGTGACAGGATGTTCGGGTCGATAATAATATTTCTGTGTGAATTTTTATATTTTAACTCAGTGAACTGCGCGCCGAATATTTTTCGATCTTGAAACACAGCTCCAGTTTTGCCGGAACAGTAAATCCACATACTTAAATCGATAATCGATTTAACTAATTGATGCTGATCAGCATCCTTATAATTAAATCACCGTAAAGAAATTTAAAGAATTTATTACGAAAAATATTATCTCAGCCAGGAAGTATGTAGATTTACTGTGCCGGCAAAACTAAAGCTGTGCTCCAAGACCGAAAAATATTCGGCGCGCAGGTTACTGATTTGGAATATAAAAATTTACACAGAAATATTATTATCGACTCGAATATCCTGTCACGATTCTTAACTCTTTGTTATTTAGATGATAACTATAATTTAACTTTTACAAAAGTAGTTAAATTTTTTTACATATTGCAAATAAAATGCTAATGATCAGTAGGCCCTTATGCTATTTTTCATTCAATCACAAAGGGACTACAGTTTTCTTAAACTTGTCCTATTGAATTTTAATAATAGATTCTTTTTTTGAAAGTTAATCAGTATATTATATCACTGCATAATGAAGACAGTAATATTTTTTATGTTACCATGTTTCTCTACGTTTGATCTTCCTACAGTCGCGTATTATGATTTAATTACACAATATATTCAATATATATAAATTCCTCTCGACAATGCATATAGAAACGATTGCTGTTTGCCATTTCAATCTGGCTCTGCCAATGACAATCTCGATGTATATTCTTCCAATGTAACAATACCACATAAGTGAAAATTGCAAGATATATATACTACGTATTAATTCTATTAGAATGTTGTACAAAACATACATGTATATATATATCTAGGTTTTATTAAGCGAAATAATTATATATAATACATTCCCCTAGACTTGTTTGCTTCATACAAAAGCTGATTTCTTACGATCAAATGGTGATAGTCAAATACGTATAAAATGTATTATTGCGTTTGCCTGTGTTATAAAAATGTATTATAAAGTTTGCGTTATTACGATTGTTAACGCAATCATTTTTATAAATTAGTACATGATATCATTTAATTTTTGCTTTAATTAAAGTATTATTCAATTTCCACATATTATAAAGACTGCCATGTATGTACATATTATATTTAATTGGAATATAATGGTTGTAAGAAATGTAATTTTTATTGAAAATATTATTTCTAAAAAAAGCATCGATACATTAGGATAAAAGGCAAACGACGTATGTCTCATCGTAATATGACGTAAGTTCCAATGTCAAGAGCATGTAAATGGGTGAAGGTAAACAAGCGAGTGACTTTTCTCTTTCGCTAAGAGATCAGACGTGGTCCAGTGCTTCCACGGCAGTACTGCTTTTGCTCAACGAGCCTCGAAGATCAAAACTGAATTAATACGTATCGACCGATTAAAGTCGATGGATAAATTGCAAATTAATTCTTTATTATATATGAAAAGAATTTTGAAATATTTATCCGAACGAAATATTTATACTCCTTCGTCGTTAAAAAGAATTCATTGAAGAGTGAAGTTAAAAACTGAACTAACTTGAAGTAACGTGAAGTAAAACTTTTGCCCCATATATACATATAATAATGAATAATAATAATAATAATAAAGTGCGAAGGAACATGCCGCATTTCTCGTATCCCGAAGTCCTGACGGAAGCGGCAGGTGTGAAGATTGTAACATCTCTGCCCATAGAGGATGTGAATCTACTTCCGCCAGGAAAGATGGTCCTTAAAATGCGGAAAATCAACGTGGAAACATATATGCACGGTAAATATTGCGGATTTCATTTGACCAAATCGAAATGGGATCCGTATCCGTGGGTCGGCTATGTCGAGAATAATAGTCCTGCCGACCTAGCAGGATTGAAGTGAGTTTTATTTAGTCTTTAAAACTATCGAATACTTATATCGTGGATATATGAAAGAGTATATATAAAAGTCCAATACATATATTACATTAAAAAATATAAATATATATTTCTTTTGTTAAATTATACATTGATATGAGATAATAATTTTATATTATATTAAGAACCACGTGTATATTTTATATAGCACCAATTAATTTCACATTTGATTCACATAAATCATTTTTTCGTTATATTCCATCAGAGCGGGCGATTGTTTATTGGGCGTTGACGACACCGATTTGTTAGGGCTAAAGATCAAAGACGTCGCTACTTTAATTCGTAATGAGGAAGGTGTTCAAGATATAAATTTCCTCATTTGGAGATACACGCATCAAGAAGATGAACAGAATGATACTAGGCTAGCCCTGAAGGGTCCACTTCCAAATGTAGCCAGAAATCTTGCAAATGCATTATCAGGAACGGTGCGTATGCATTCTATAACTCAATATCGGGACCATTGTTTTTTCTTTTTTATTCTTATTGATCATTTATTTGTTCAGTGGCAGATTTATTACTTCAGAAATATAACCTAGAATTATTAACTCCTACTATCAATCTTCTATCTTTAACAACATAATTATCAACCAGTAATTTAGGAGGCTAATGATTAATAATCCAAATTTAAACTGTAAGCTATAATATACATGATCCATTCCCTCCGTCCAGAATAATAAACTTTTAATGTCCTAATAAATAATAAAAGGTTTTTTTTTAATTTTGAGTGGAGCTCATTTAGAAACTGTTTCAACATTTTTCATGAAATATTTTCTTTTTAGGTCCGCGCCTTAGAATGTCCGATTTGCTTGGAAAGCGCCGCTCCTCCGGTCTCGCAATGCGTTCACGGCCACATCCTGTGTGTCGTCTGCAGGCCGAAGACGACGCATTGCCCAGTCTGCAGAGTCCGGCTTGGCCAGGGCCGATGCCTTCTCGCAGATAAATTACATAGAGCACTTCGCGATGCCTTCAACATGGATAATGCCAAGGCACCCGTCACAACTGATCGTTATAACTTACATGACCAATTGTTCGGTAAAAGTAGCAAGAGACAAGAGACTCCGGTCGTAAATCAGTCAAAGAATAATTGCGCCACGTTGAAACCGAGGCAATTCTTATTGGCCAGATTGTTGCTCGGAGGCAGAGAAAAAGCTGCTTCCGTGGATAATCTAACTCGAGCATCTGAAATGTCGAAAGAAGCTGCGATTCCTAATGGAATGACAGACACCAACAATTTACCCGTGCGATTATCCTTGAACGATCGCGCCAAGTCAGCCAGTACCGGCGAGCTGTCGAGAGACAACGAAGTTCATGTCAATGACGCTTCTTCGCAAATTGTCGAATCATCCGCGATGAATGTCAGTCAGCAATCGCTGAGTCTGCCCCGGACGCCGATCTGGGGCGGCTCTACGGATTCTGTGTCTGGTATACAGTTGACATGTCCGCTTTTGGAATCTTGCAGAGAAGTAGTGACGTCTGACTCGCTGATGGAACATATCAGAATTCACGCGGTGCCGCAAGTTCATTTTCATTCTGGAAACGCAAGGATCCCACTTCCACTTCCTTTCGGACGTGACGCTCTTTATATATTTCATCATGGAAACAATATGTTTTTTTTCCAGGTATAACATCTTTAACACGAAACAATTTCCCTCATTTGTGTGAAGGCGATATTTTTCATTCTTTTATTTTAATCCTTTACGGTAAAGTGTCCCTCTGCAAAGAAATCGATAAGAGATTATAAAAATTCGATTCAAACAAAGTTTATATCATTACATTATAAGAGCGTTTCAATTATACGTATCTGTTGGGGTACAGAGAAAGAGTATTTATTACTTAAATTTTTTTTAATATTTTATTCGGATTAAATATTTATTTCAATGTATATATAAAAAGTTTTATTTATCTGAAATTATAAAGTATAAAACTTTGTCCAATACAATCAGTTAGAATTTAATGTTATCAATCTTAATATTACTCTTATTATTAAAAAATATTCGTACATATTGATATAAAAATTGTACATCCTAGAAATAGATTATATTTTTTGAAAACGCACACATTAAAATTTAGATCAAACACATAAATCATTTCTTATTGATTCATATTTATACGCATGCAACAAAAATGGACCAAGAGAATATATGAGATAAAAAATGTGATCTCTCTCTACATAAATGTGGTAACATACATGCACACACAAATAAATACTTTTATCTGGCACTATCAAATTTTGAGGATATCAAGATCTACTCCACAAAGTAGTTAAAATATTACATATCATAATGTTATATAATCATATATGTCATTATCTTGGAAAACACTTTGCGTTATGTAGTTGACGATACACGAAAATGCGCGGAATATTTATTTAAGAGATGTAAAAATCACATTTTTTTTTATGTATAGTACGAAGAGGAAATGGCATGGATGACATATCCTCCTAAGAAGACGTGTTTAAATAGCATATGGGAATGGACATTGCACGCTTGGGGTGACAATGGTACAGAAGTACAATTGCGAAGACACGTGGCGAGTCTCGAGGATACTGCAACGTTGTCTTCACAACATATTGCTCCATTGCCAAACGCATTACTGTTGAAGACCATTGAAATACAAATGTCAGAATATGGAGCACACGACAGATTATACATGTGAAGAAAAGCTATATCGGTTATTTCTAACAAATTTCTTAATTCTAACGTAAAATATATATGAAAAGAATTAATCACAAATCTATCACGAAAAACCTATTACGAACAAAACTATTTATTTATCATTGATATGATGATTTAACGAGTGATAATACATCGCATTAATAATCTTGGAAAGGTATGAGTATTTAATACTATCTATGAGGTATGAATAATTTATTTAAAATCTTAGTGAACATATGGAGAGGTAAAAACCCCAATAGTGTAAGTCAAATTTTTAAAAATATTTTTTCGTGTACATAGATGCAATTTATATATTGTATAGATCGCATCTATGCACGCGAGAAAAAATAAAAAAAAAATGAACTTACACCACTATGACTTTTACTCCTCCATATATTAACAAGTAACATGCAGTATTCTAAAATTTGCGAGTCAAAGCGGTAAAGTCAAGTTTTTGAAAAAGTAAGTAACAAATGTTGATAAAAAATTAACATAATTATATAGAATAAAAGATATTTAGACATATTACAGATATATTTACTGCTTATAAAAGAACATACACGAAACAAAAGTTCTGTCAAGAGCGTGTTTCATGAGAGTGTTCATGTAAAAATACTGATATTGTTATCAACTTAATATTACTTAACATTCATAATAAAATTAATACTTCATACAATTAATACTTAACGAATTCCATTCTTTAATAGATAAAACGCAACCGTTAATTAAAAAATGCACATTTATAACATGCATACTGATAAGATATAAAACTTGGTCATATATGGTTTTCATATTAATCATCTTATGGTATTTGATTTAATATGGCATCCATATATGGTTTAAAAACGTCATGTTGACCGGTTTTCGCAGCTTGACCGGCCATAATGTCATACGCATAATTATAAACCGCTAAATAATTCTCTTTTCCAACGATATTTAGTTCGACTTTATAAACATGCTTGTCATAAGACATCTTTTTATTCGGTGTTAAAATCTTTCGTTTAACGGATGACAGTGGGTCTTCACCATATTCCGCCTCATCCTTTTGTTTGTCTCGTTTCGGACAACTACAAATTCTTATTACTATTGTTCGACGAGCTAAAGTTCGATTCTGTTCATTTTCTAAAGTGAATACAAGCTCTGTAGCTCTACGATTCATACCGGATGGACAGCTATTTTTGCAAAAAAACTTGAAGCACATTGGCACATACTGCGAGCCAGCTTCGGGTGTACAAAGCGGTGTTAAAATAGAAAGATATCCATCTTTCTCTTTGTAGATACTTGAAGCATGATTAACGCAATGGACTACATGTTTAATTCTGCCTTGTTCCATAGTTTGATTAACGTGGTTGGTTATTGCTGCGTGATTGTAGCATCGTTTTACTGGATCACTTTTATGTTCGTCCAACAGAAAAACTAATTCTGTACGTAAGAGTAAACCGGGCATAGCTGGCTCCCACGTAAATCGTAAAGGTAGTACCTTTTCCATTTTGATATATAATTTTTTCAATACCTCAGAGTACTGTATGCAAAGAAATAAACAACATAAACTTGTTAATCTTATGGTACTATGTAGAATGTTAATAAAGAATTATACGTATAAAAATTATAAAATTTTAATTTGCAAAATAGTTTAGTATGTATCATTGTTAAAAGAAAATTATCATGCACACTTGATACATTTAACACTAATCTATATAGTACACAAAAAAGCTTACATCTGCAATATACAAAATCTGCTTAAACATGATTCTGATGTAAACATAAACAGGTCTGATAATTTCTTGTATAAAAGCTAAAGTCAAGTCTAAGCAGATTTATGTACTTTTTACAGCACATTGACACAATTAATGGTTAGATACTGAAACATTTTCAAACAAGATCTCTTACTCTCATCTTCCTTTACCATACTTTTATCTCCTCACAATTTCACGAGTAATATTTACAATTGTTCACAGTTTATATGGAATATCCCATGCAAAAATTATATTAAACCAGGATTAAAAACTAATGGCATTTACCATCAAGAGGCAGAATTGATCTGCAAGTAGGTACATATTATTTGATAGTCGACTTCAATCTAACTCAACAAATAAAAAATAGTGCAGTTTAGCATAACTTTCCTGCACACGTACAAGATCTGGATTTAATACATGGTTTATCATACAAAAAGTCTACCTACCACCCAATCCTGTCCATTGCTATCACCAAAGGTGAACTGGAAATTCAATGGACAACCCAAATAATCGTTGTATAAAGCTGGGTACTCTGGGTAGTAATGTTCTCTATCATCATCTTCTATTTCCATCTTTCTTTTCAATTTCTTTTCCACAGCCACAGAGACGTTTGCAGACATGGCGAATGTGTCAGGTTTCTCTTCCATGACTTCTAATTCGTGTATATTTTCCGGTACTACTGGCAGAGTACCTCCGCTTTGAGAAAACAAACGAAGAACGAATTTAATCGAGATCACTTTATTGTGCGAAAGAGTATGTACACTCGTGATACAGAATCATGGACCGGCATAAAAAGTGAATATTAAACAAAAATTACTTACAAGGATGTCTCTATATCTTTGAAAGTTTCTTCGTCTATCAATGCAGATTCCTGAGAATCTGAATAAACGCTCACGCCAGTAGTCACGCCGTTCACGCCTAACATATTCGCAAATTTTCAGTCGGATTGAAGAACGAAACAACCATGTGACTGACGCAATACGCATCCGCCATCCGGTTAGGACCGACTGAAGTGACTGAACATTTCCTTTGTTTCGTATGATCGAGATTCGAGATTCGAGATTCGAGATTCGAGAAAAGTCTTTCTAAGACAGCCAGTTTTGATTGGTCCGCCAGTTTTGTCAAAAACGAGAGAAACAAAAAGAGACAAAGGGTCGCGTTCAGCAGAACATAACTGTTGAGTTCGTCTTATCATTCTTATCAACACTCTGCGTTGCGTGGTCGACTGCTACTGAGCGGCTTGGTCTGCTGAACGCGCCCGATATAAAAAAGAGACAAAGAAGAAGATAAAAAGAAAGAGAAAGTGACTGTCGATTTGGGTCGCTTGCAGCTTGTTGGAAAAGCTCCCAATAGTCCCAATGAATATCGGCCTTATATTGACGATGCGCGCACGCGCGGTGCTTCGTGGCGGGAACCGCACGTGGCGCGTTACGGCGAGGTACGGCACGCGCCGGAAGCATACGACTCCAATATGGCGAATGTGAGGGATAGCGATACATCGTTGTGGCTTCATAACAAGCTCGGTACGTCAAACGATAGCTGGACCGGCAGCTCGATCTGTTCACAGCTCAATGCCGAGGTGTTGCGCAACATCAAGGATTGTTTTCCCGACCTGCAAACGCAGGTCAAGCTTAAGTTACTCCTGTCATTCTTTCACATACCCAGGCGCAATGTTGAAGAGGTAAGCAGCTCTCGTCTATCTCGATATTTGCTGCACACTTTCGACGAGTATTGCTCCCCCCGAGATGCGGAGATGCGCTTGCTCTCTGCGCGAGTAAAATTAATATTACGTTCACATTTCTCTATTTCATTCTCGTCTATTTACGCATATTCGCCATCCATTTGATTTTTCTCAATTGTGCGATGTTTTTGAAATGTTTAGTACATATAAGAACTACGTAGGACTAGTATTTACAATTTTACAGGGATCTACGATTGTCTCATTCGTTTGAGTTGGAAAAATTATCATTTCCATATGAGATTTATATAGAATTTCTTTCACACACATTTCCTTCGTTTTACCTCTTATTTCACTAAAATGCTTTTTATTTATGAATTTGCGACAGTGGCGTGTGGAACTGGAAGAGATCATTGAGGTTGCGTCTCTGGACAGTGAGCTGTGGGTATCAGTGCTATCCGAAGCGATGAAGACTTTTCCATCGACCGGTTCTTTAAATACAGACATCACTGATTTGGATGAACATAGATCAATTTTTGGGGACTTGGTCAATGACTTAAGGAAACTTATGAAGAAGCAGAATGATCCTGCTATGCTTCCCTTAGAGTGTCATTATCTTAACAAGACTGCGTTGACTTCAGTGGTAGGTCAGCATCCCATGCCAGTTAAGCATTTCATTTTCAAGAGAAAAACAAAAAGCGCAGCTTTGAGAGCGGAATTACTTCAAAAAAGCATCGATGCCGCTAATAATCTTAAGAAGAGCACAGCTCCCACAGTACCAGTGAGAAGTAGAGGGATGCCAAGAAAAATGACTGATACAAGTAAGTATTTTGGGGCAGATCGTTGCGGGTGTCTGATATGATGTCTTCCCAAAAATATTATTCTTGACTCTTAGTGAGTGGGGGGGGGGGGGGGGGACTCTCCACTAGTATACGCCCAATTCGACTCTTGGTGAGAGCGTCAATTGGCAAATGAGTATTTTGCTGAATTTGTTCATAAATCTAGACGGCGCAGTCAGGCGCTCGCGACTCACGAAAAAACGCACGTGGCTGATTAGTGTTAGAGTCCCTCTAGTAAGAGTCGTGACATCTTGAGTTTCGACAAAATAAGAGAGAAAGAGAAAGCGATATGAATGTATGTTACTTGTATATCGCTTTCTCTTTCTCTCTTATATCTCTTTCTCTTTCTGTTTCACATACTTTTGCCGAAAATGCGAACCAAACAAAAGTTGCTGCTACGTGTCGCGACTCTTATTAGAGGGACTCTAATTAGCGTGGTACTGGCCTGCCATCTGCCAAATGCATGCCATGATATTTCTCAGTGTTATTTTCGCGATGTACTACATGGCATTTACTCAAACTTTTCAGCACCTCTGAAGGGAATCCCAAGCAGAGTTCCAACGAGCGGTTTTCGATCCCCGTCGCTCACAAACACCTCTGTCTCTAACAGAACATCGATCAGCAGTAGAATTCGAAAAGATGGCGGTATTAAATTACTGGATATTAACGAGCAGCCTCTCGGATACGCACAAGCGAAGAAGAGGAGAAAGATGCTGGAGATGGAGGAGCAGCAGAAAAAAGTCGCGGAAGCACAAGCGGCCGCTGTGGCAGCAGCTGCTTCAGTGGCTTCACCGGTTGCGGAAACTCCGACAACTCCAGAGTACGCGCAAGGATTGGCCTCGATTAATCCGCCTGCCACGCCAGTTCCACCAGTTGTGGTAGCTACGGCGCAACCCTATACCGCACCTAGCACGCCAAGCAGCATTTCGGTTACGACTACGCAGCAAACATGTAAGACCAACGTTACAGATACTAAAGTCCATGTCGTTTTGTTTGGATTTTGATTGAACATTTGCGTTACATAGCTACTACGTTAACTACTACCACCACAACGCCCACTACTGTGATAGCAGTAGCTGCATCAACGGTGATAGCACCTGTGGAAAGCACGCCAGTCGCCGTGCAAACAGTCAGACCGGCTCAAACAGTTACGCAGATTCGTATACAGACTACCACGCAACCTAATGCGGCGGCTAATCCAAGAAAAGGCCTATCTCTTACGGTAAGCTACACGCAAAATTTGACTTAATTATCTGTATTGTTATAAATATAGGATTCTCGCGCTATTCATTGTTATTGATTTACAGCGTGAACAAATGTTGGAAGCTCAAGAAATGTTTAGAACTGCGAACAAAGTAACGCGTCCAGAAAAAGCCCTTATCTTAGGTTTTATGGCTGGTTCTAGAGGTATGTCTATCTTCCACGTATACCTTTTTCGTTATAGATTATATTTTACCGATACTATCGATTGTTTCGCTTGCAGATAATCCTTGTCCAAAATTGGGCAATATAGTCACAGTGATGCTCTCGGAGAATATAGAAGAAGTAACGCAGTCGGACGGAACAACTGTTCCAATGTTGGTCGAAACTCATTTCCAAATGAATTACACGAACGGTGAATGGAAGAGGATAAAGAAAAATCGGCGTATCGTGACGGAGGAATCTACATCAACGTCCACTCCCGCACCAACCGCGACAGCCACGGCTTCCAATTGAAAGAACTTTGTTCAAATCGCTAAAAATACGAGATCTACATCTATATGAAATATCGTTTTGTGTTATCGGTTACTAGAGGATATAACGAACATTGTGATCACACGTCTTCTTAGTGAATTGATAAATTTACTAAATTAATAGTAATTCGATTCACGTTTAAAATCTAAAAAGAATCATTGAGTAACGACTTTCAAATGTAGAATTTGCATCCCGATAAAACTGATTTTTTTCGTTTTCTCGCATCAATCATGTAAGTCTTGATAATTTTCATATAGAGATTTCAGTTAAATGAAGAGAAGTTAATCTGAATCTGCTTTCCGAGTATGCTTCATTCAATAACGTTTTCTCCTTCAATACTGGTATAAGAAATGTATATGATTTATAGTACATTTAAGATATTTTAAAGTTATATATAATTTGATAGAAATAATATGCAATGTGTGAATAGTCAAATATTTGTTTAATAGTACCATTACATAAAAATCTATATATCATATACAGATATATAAATATATATATATACATATATATATTTTAATAAGAATGAACATAAGACTTCTATAATATTGTTATTTGAATAAATACATGATTATATTTCTGTTTTGTGTGTTGCTTACAGACATATTTTTTGCAATTTGCTATTGATTACATTCAAATATCGCGTTATCACGTTTTCAACCATTTTGCATGTATTAAAATGATAATTTTCTTTTTAAGGATTTATGATTTTCAAAGATTTTTTTCGATGTAAACAAGGAACTATAATTCTATAATATTTTATTCGAGTAAACGCAGTCAATTTTTGTTTTTCCAATTTTATGATTATTTCTACATGATTACATTGTAAATATTTGCTATTTTCAAATTTATTGTAATATTTTGCGCATAAAACAATTTTGTAAGAACTCGTGTTCTTCCAATGTTATATGTACATACATACAGTGTATGTACATACACACATGCGTACCCATACCATCTCAAAGTGTTTCATAACCTGTTTATTCCGCATCTGCCGGTTGTGCAGGTAGTGGAGTTCGCGTGTCGGTGTGTGAGGGGTTGACGAAACTTCTTGCATCTACATTTTTCGGTTCTACGATTCTGTGAGTTTTACAAACAATTGCACAGCGGAGTTTAGGGTGTGCAGTTGTCCGCATTATCTGTTTTGCGATGTTTCGATTACTTGCTTCGCTACGTACACGAGCTGGAACGTTGGTAGGTGCTACGGAATTCGTGTATCTTGTTTCGATTGAGCTTCAGCTTTCAGCGTTTTGCTGACTCATTGCATGCAAACATATTTAATTCTGCACTGCATTGACGTCTCGATAGAAACAAAAGTAAAATCATCGTCTCTTCAGATTGAATATATTTTCTGCAGGTTGCCACTGCAACTGATTCGCTGGCGAGAACTGACAATACATCGTTTGCGAGAGGTGTTCGTAATTTCACAGTGAGCTCCAAACTACTCAGCGATGGACCGCAGATCCAGAAACCCGCTCCGGATTTCTCTGGTACCGCAGTAGTTAAAGGCGACTTCAAGGAGATCAAGTTGAACGACTACAAAGGGAAATACGTTGTTCTGTTTTTCTACCCATTAGACTTGTATGTAATTTTGTCTCGATTATCATTTTTAATATACATTTAATATAACTATAATATTGAACTTTTATATTCTACTTGCAGTACATTTGTTTGCCCAACGGAGATAATTGCATTTAGTGAGAAGGTCTCGGAGTTTGAAGCTCTGAATACACAAGTGATCGGAGTGTCGACAGATTCGCACTTTAGCCATTTGGCATGGATTAATACCCCGAGGAAACAGGGTGGCCTCGGAGGAGACTTGGGCTATCCTCTTTTGAGCGATTTCAATAAGACCATATCGAACAAATACAATGTTTTGTTGCAAGACTCGGGAATCGCTCTCAGAGGTCTCTTCATCATAGACAAGGAGGGAGTTCTTCGACAGTTTTGCGTCAATGATCTCCCGGTTGGCAGGAGCGTCGAAGAGACATTGAGATTGATCAAGGCCTTCCAGTTTGTCGAGAAGCACGGCGAGGTATGTCCTGCAAATTGGCAGCCCGATTCCAAAACTATTAAGCCGAATCCAAAAGATAGCAAACAATACTTTGAATCGGTTAATTAAGCTTGCACTTAGGTTTTGTTCAAGGGATATGCCCAACATATTAGATTTTAATGTAATGTAATATAATAGATTATGACACATAATGCAATATAACATAGGTCAAATGCAATAGCATTAATATTACAGTTGATTATGTAAAATGAACAAAATCTAAAAAATTATATACACGTTTTACTATAAAACAATATAATATATTTACATGCTCCTTCCATATGCATGTTATACTTATTTGTGCGATTTTGTATCTTAAGAGCGGATAGTAGAAAAAGGAAAACACATGCACGTATACATGGCCGATAAATTTAACGTACAGGGAGATAAAAACATGTTGATTAATTTGATTTTTTTTTCTGAATGGAAGATGACGCGGAATGTCTTATATCTCGGATTTTTTTCTCCTTTTCTCATCGTTAATAAATGTGCAGAATATAAATACATGATATTCACGCTCAGAAAATCGATATTTACTTACAGATTGCACATTAACAATTTTTTTTTTAATTTAGAGAATTATATGAATATATAATTTAAAATTATTAGGAAGTATTTTTGTTTTAATTTAAGTTGTATAAAATATAAGAGATGTTCAACAGACCCTCGATAAATTATCTTTTAGCAATTATTCAACTCACGCCAAAATGCCATAGTGCAGTATATAAGCAATTAGTGTTGGCTGCTAAAATTACTTGAAAACATGAGTGAGTGAGAGAGAGAGAGAGAGAGAGAGAGAGAGAGAGCAGGATATATATATATATATATATATATATATATATATATACACACACACACACACACACACACACACACACACACACGCATATATATAATACACACACACACACACACACACACACACACACACACACACACACACA